CCCCATCGTGAAATCGTTCGTCCCACCGCATTCTCTTTTTTCACTGGATTGGTTCGAAGCGCCCCATGGCGCAGCGTGCGTGACGGATTCGCCACCTGCGTCGCGCGTTGCGCACGCAGGGCTCGAAACTTGGGCCACGTCGTAAAAGAGGAAGTTCGACCGCGGGAGTTTGCGTATTTGAGACGTCTTGTGACGGCTGTTTATAGATATTATAACCCTCTGGGCGTCCCCGCGGGACGCGGGGCCAGGCCCCCTTGGGGCCGCCTCCTGTTTTTTTTTTTTTTTTTTTTTTTTTTTTTTTGAATATCCGGTATGGTTCCCATAAGTAGAGAGTCGGGGCTGACCAGGGGATGGAGGGGGGGAGAGAGAGAGAGAGAGAGAGAGAGAGAGAGAGAGAGAGAGAGAGAGAGAGAGAGAGAGAGAAAAGCAGGACGGACGGGGTCTTGTGCTCCTCAGGGCACGCCGGAGAGGCAACGGGCCGACGCGCCACGAGCACCCCTGGGCGGTCGTCGGCCACCCGCAGGGGCGTCGCGCGCGAGGAGGCGGCCTCTCATCGAAGGATCTCTCGGGCAGAGAGGCTGCTCAAAGCTCCAAGTTCGAGGGAACAAAAACATGGATGAGGGCAGGCGGATCAGCGACGGGTCCCGTTTACATGCTGAATTGGCGCGCCGCGTCGCCAAAAGAGGCGGCATTGGCGCCATGTATAGGGGTTGAGTCCAACCCAGCGGCTGAGACGGCGCATGTCTGGAGAAGCTCACACAACGGTCGTCAAGTCGGCAGCGAGACTACGTTCGCTAAGGCGAAAGCAATCGTCAATTCATCTCCAACGTTCGTCAAGACGAGAGGAGCCTTTAACTCGGCACCGACACTTTCTTCGTCAATACCGAAGTCGTTTTTAACCATAAGCTTGGCCCCGACGCTTTTTTCGTCAAGACGGACGGGGCGGCGAAGGGTGCCGCCAGGGGTTCACCAACTCGGAGGGAGGCCGTCACGGGGGTTCGTCCCCCCAGAGGGAGGCCGTCAAGAGGGTTCGTCAACGGGGTTCGTTTATTTCGAGGGAGGCCGTCAAGGGCGTTCGTCAAGTTTGAGAGAGGCCGTCAATGGGAGTTTGTCAACTCGGAAGGAGGCCGTCAGAGGAGGTTCGTCAACTTACTTGGAGTTGGCGGCCAACTTCTTCCACAAAGACGGGGTTGGCGGCCAAATCCCTTCACTTAGATAGAGTTGGCGGGTCAAGCACCAGAGAGAGTATACATGGTCATCCGTCGCGGCGCCCAGTCACTTCTACACCTGCCGCCCGCGACAGGTTCAATATAGGGGGGTACGTTCTTTGATCCGTGGCTGTTGTGCCCACGCGCCAGATCCACGGATCCCTTATGCGCGTTAGCCTGCGCACGACAAGTGTAGAAGGGTGGGCGTGGGCTGACAAACCATTCAATTTTGATCCAGTGGCCGCTAATTCGCACAAGCCTGCTGGCGCTTCAGTTCAATTTGAGTTGATTTTCCATCGTTTTCTAGCCGTTACGTGTCTACGTTTGGGACTACAGTCCCTCCAGTCCACCACTTAGCGCTGGCACCTTACACTGCGCGACGTCATGTGCACTGTGCCTTCGACAGCGCTCCACCGCAATTCGCACTTCCATCTGCTGTTCGCGCCTGAGGATCCTCTGCGACGCAGGCTTTAAAAGTAGCCATGCCTTCGTTAGTCCTCGGTCGGACTGCCGACGCTGCCACTCTCAGGCCACCGGTGCGCGACGGAGGGAAGGGCACCGCTCCCCAACAGGTGGCGCAAACGCTCGGGGAGCTCAGCGTGGAAAAGGCCATCGAGGAGCAAGGAGGACCTTGCTCGGATGAGGCGGAGCGGGGCCCTGTTGCTATGTGTACGGCGGTGGTCCAGCTCTCGAAGCAGATGGACGGCATCCCAAGGCAGCGCTACCTTGAGGCCGTGTGAGAGTTGAAAGCAGCCAAGGCGTCCACAGTCGCAGCTGAACCCAGGGGCCAGCAGCGCAAATCATTGCACGACCAGCTCGAGGCTTGCAAGAAGAAGCTGGCACACGCCCAGGCATTTTGCAACCAGACAGTCGAAGCGATGGCCAAGCGGGCCAACGAGTATGAGAAACAACGCAAGCTCGTTTCAGACTTAGTCTCGGCGACCAAGCGGCTTGAAATCCTACATCAGACGGAGCAGGCCCTCAAGGAGTATGCCAAGACCGCCACCCCGTCGCTGGAGTCGTACATCAAGGGTCTGTTCCCGCCAGGATCAGCCCCGTCACCCACCGTGCATGGGGCCATCGTGCAGCTGTCGCACGACGAGTGGCAGAAGGCGCAGGCAGCGGCACCGACGTCCCAGCAACCCCAGGAGACCGAGGAAATGGAAGGCGAGGCTGCTGCGAGGGCGTCGGCAGGGTCGGGCGTTGCCCCGGAGCCAACCGTGGGGGCCGAGGAGGCGACGGCTCCCATCGGAGATGGCGCATGGGCCCTCGCGGGACCCACGCCGGGGACAATTCCCGTGGAGAGGGACACTGGTGAGCAGAAGCGCGCCCAGGGAATCATGCGCGCGGCGGGACAGTCAACCAGGTGCTCAGAGTTCACGGCACGAGTGTGATGACCTCCCCGCAGCTGCTTGCGGCAGGGGAACACTTCCAGAAGAGCGCGCAGGCTCTTTGCCTGGGCCAGAAGGGCAAGGGCAGGACGGAGGATGGACCGTGTGGGTAACGCGGTCAGGTTCGCCACTATCAACGGGACCTGCGGGAGATCTATCCGGATTTGTTTGAAGTCGAAGGCAGGCGTTTTTTAAATCTGGGCCCTTCCCCCCCCCCCGATCACGTCACGCTGTTTCCTCCACATGTCCCAAGGAATCTTCAAGGGTTTCCAGAGGATCTCCCCAGGAATTCGTCGTCGTCGCTGTTGTCCGCGACCGGGGGGCCGAAAAATTGATAACAAAGTCACAAAAACCTCGTTCCTCGAGTCTCGGACCTCGCTCTTCGGAGGGGGGGCGGGAAAGCTCGCCAACACGGCAGAGGCGAAAATCGTCAGTCGTCGCTGCTGCCGCCACCGCCGCCGCCGCCGCCCCCGGAGGGGGAGGAGGAGTCAGGAGGATGGGGAGCAGGAGGGGGAGGAGGATGGGGAGCAGGATGGGGCGCTCTTGAACGCCCTTTGGCCCCTCTCGGGCCGCTCTTGGGGCTCTCCCAGGGCCCTCTTGGCCAACAACATCGTTTCCTTGTTTTTGAAGGAATTTGGTCTTTCGGGGGCCCTCTTGGGAGGCTCCTTGACCACTTGAAGCGGTCTGGAGGCATGTTGCGAGCTACTTCCAGCCATGCTGGGCTACCCTGAGCGATCTTGGAGGCCTTCTTGAGTTTTCCGAGGCCCTGTGTCAGCACAGCGTTAAATTTCATGCAGGGTGGTTCCACCGAGTTCTCTGGACAGGCTTGGTGGAACCATCCTGGGCCAGTTTGGGAAGAGCTAAGTTGGCTTGAGTCAAATTGGCTACAGATCGTTTCTCCTCTTCCTCGCTCGCCCTCCCTGTTGTTCCTGCTCGTGCTTCTGCTGCTGCTCCTTCTTTTGCTCCTCAATCCCCTCTTTCTCCTCTGCTCCTTCTCCCTTTTCATTCTCTTCCTCTTCCCGAGGGCCCAGGGGCTCGAAAAAGGCCCCGTGATGTGATGTGATGTGATGTGATGTGATGTGATGTGATGTGATCGGGGCGGGCCACCCTCCGATCACGCCATTTATCGCGGATAATACAATAACATGGTTTTTAGGTCGCCTCGGAGCGTCGAAAGCAAGAAAAGACTAGACCACTAAACTTATTCCACAACTGATGTGCAATCAATTAGTTGTGCATTTCGGGGCCCTTTTGCGGGCCTCTTGGGGCTTTCTTGGTCCGTCGATCGGGCAGTCTGTGGGCCATGGTGGGCGTCTTGGAACGCTGCCGGGCCGTCTTCGAGTCCTCTTGCTCCCTCTCGGGTGCTTCTTGGGGCCCTCTTGGCCCGTCGTGGGGCCCTCCAGCTTTTGGAGAAATCATGCGGGGAAGCCCGAAAACGCAGGAAAACGCTTGGAAGACGTGTGGCTCGGGGCTCCCTGCCCCCCTACGTATAGTAGTACAATGTTGAACACAGAGTACATGGAACTCTGGAAGGTTGGGGAGCATTCCCCCTCGTGCCTCGAGGCACTGCGGCGCATTTCACATATTTTGTCATGTGGGGCGTGGGGCAGCTGCTGACGACGCCACCGCCAAGTCAAACATTGAGAACGTAGGTATTCGCTGGCGAGTCATTCAGCCCTTACCGAAGTCTCGATAGCGCACAGAGCGCATTCAGTGGTGTACCAAAGCCACCGTCAGCGTTCCGCATCCAGCGGCACCGTGGCCGAAAACCAATTTGCGGCAGCAGAGCGGGGTCGAGAAGGAGCAGGGAGGAGGATGAGGAGGAGGAGGAGGAGGAGGAGGAGGAGGAGGAGGAGGAGGAGAACGATGACCACGTCGATGAGAGGAGGGCGTAGTAGGAGACAGGGAGAGGAGGGAAACGAGAGAGATGAAGAGAAGGGCTTGGAGGAGGAGGAGGAGGAGGAGGAGGAGGACGAGGAGGAGGAGGAGGAGGAGGAGGAGGAGGAGGAGGACCAGGAGAACAAGGAGTCGCAGTACAGAGCTCGATAATGCCGTGCCTTACACCCCGCTGGATCTACTGGGGCCAGGCGGACTGGCCTCACTCCCGGCACTGGGCTCACCCCCAGCACGGGCCTGCGCGCTGGGACCTGGCTTGCCCAAGGCCCCTCAAAGCCGCGCACCGGAGGCCCCTCTTGCCCAGGGGCCCCCTCCCTCCCTCCCTCCCCTCCTCCCCCTCCTCCCCTCCCTCTTCTCCTCCTCCTCCCTCCTCCTCCTCCTCCTCCTCCTCCTCCTCCTCCTCCTCCTCCTCCTCCTCCTCCTCTCCTCCTCCTCCCCTCGTCGCGTGCAGGTCGACTCCTCGGCCCTCCTCCGCCCCGAGAGGCCGCCTCCCCTGGCCCGGCAGGACCTGGGCCGCTGCATGTCCTTCTGCGCGGCGCGCCCACGCCCCCCCCGCCCGCCCGCGAGCCGCGCGTCCCGCGGGGCAGCCCGCGAGGGGGCGGCTCCGCCGGGCCGAGCCGCCGCACCCCCGCGGTTCCCAGGCGATCGCAAGCATAGATCAGGGGGGCGCGGATTGGCGACGGGTCCCGTTTCTATGGGACATCTCGGATTTGCGCCGCCGAACGAGGCGGCACCGGCCGCATTTTGGGGAGGGCACCTCCCTTGATCCATGGATTTGGCGACCGCGCGCCAGGTCCATCGATCGCTGATCCATGTTTGCGCGCCCCCGAGGTTCGGGACTCAAGAGACGGGGGTCAATGCAAACGGGGGTCAGCCAAAGCGCCGGATCTTGCAGGCTCCTGCAGAGGCAGGGTCGCACTGACCGGGGCTTGGGCGCAGGATCCCGCAGGATCTTGCAGGATCCTTCAAGGCTTGATTGCCCCAGGTCTGGATTGACCCAGGTCAGTACAGTCGGGGCGCTGAAGAAGGAACCCTTTTTGTTGGGGAGGGGCTCGGTGTTCCTTGATTGTTTCAAAGTTTGCCTCTGTTTTCCTGAGGCTTTCCATGGGAAGTCGAGATTGAACTTATGAACAAAAAGGGGCCTCGTTCCTTATTTGGGGCTCCTTAGGTCCACGCCTCGACTGTAGATCCCCAGCCGGTCCTTCGCCGCCTTCTGGCTCGAGTCCAGGCGCAACGAAGGACCACAGCCACAGCTGGGCGGATTGTGCGGCGGGGCCCCTGTGGGGAGAAGCCGCCGACCTCGGCAGGAGCACTCGGGGTGTGGCCGTGGTCGACGCGGCCGTCCGGGGACGCCACATCGACCGCGACCAGTACGAAGCTGGCTTCGGTGTCCCGACAATGGTTTGCCATGCGCAAGACCCTGGCATCGCTCGGACGTGTGCATTTTTTTCTTGGCGAGAACCATCGAAGAGCATCCTTGATCATTTGGCGAAACAACCACGCACGAAACCGAAAAAACACAGGGAATGGACGTCCGAGCGATGGCGAGAGACGCCCCCCAGGGTGTGTCCTCGATGCGGTTGCGGTCACCTGCGGTCCCCCACATCGAGGAGGCCGTGCCTCTCTCAGAGAGGCGAGGGGTCATGTTTGAGTGTCTGAACATCCAGAGGCCAGTACAGATGCCCAAGAACAGGCCGTATCATTTTGTCGAGCCGCTGGAGACCAAGTCCGGCTCGATCCAGTCCGGGGAGTAGTGGTTTCAAACCAATTCGTTCGAAGTCGGTCATCCCCGATCCCCTCCTGGGCCCCATCCTGGCCACCTCGGAAGCTCCTGAGACACCCCAAACCTTCGAAACGTCGTCGCCGCCGCCGCCGTCGTCAGTATCGTCGTCGTCGTCGTCGTCGTCGTCGTCGTCGTTGTCGTCGTCGTCGTCGTGGTGGTGGTGGTGATGGTGGTGGTGGTGGTGGTGGTCGTCGTCGTCATCGTCCAGTCGTCGTTCAGTCGTCGTCCAGTCGTCGTCCAGTCGTCGTCCAATAGTCGTTTTCCAGTCGTCGTCGTCGTCGTCGTCGTCGTCGTCGTCGTCGTCGTCGTCGTCGTCGTCGTCGTTCGTCGTCCGTTGTCCGTCATCTGTCGTCCAGTCGTCATCCAGTCGTCATCCAGTCGCCATCCAGTCGTCATCCAGCCGTCATCCAGTCGCCGCCCAGTCGCCGTCCAGGCGTCGTCGTCGTCGTGCAGTCGCCGTCCAGGCGTCGTCGTCGTCGTCGTCATGCAGTCGCTTTCCAGTCGTCGTCGTCGTCGTCGTCGTCGTCGTCGTCGTCGTCGTCGTCGTCGTCGTCGTCGTCGTCGTCGTCGTCGTCGTGCAGTCGTCCAGTCGTCGTTTCTTTGGCCTCACTCTGAGAGCAGCCGTGCTAGACCGCCTCTGCGCACACATCTTCACTCGGCGAGCGCGGGGGGGTGGGGGCTGCGGCTGCTGCCCGGGTGTGCGTGCTCGGGAGCCTGGGCTCGGGCCCGAGCTGGTCGCCTGGCCCCGCGCTGCAGCTCGTGCTCTGGCTTGGTCCCGGGCTCGCGCGCGCCCTCGGGCTCTCGGGCGCCGCCGCGGGGGCGACGCGAGAGGCGCCCGCTGAGCCCAAGAGGGCCCCCCTGTGGGGCCCAAGAGGCGCACGAGAGGTGCACGGCCTCTCCCCGACCAGCCAGCAGCGCCCGAGGCGCGGGCTCGGCCCCGCCAGCTGCTCGCCGCGGGGCGCCGCGGCGCGCAGACTGCGCGGCGAGGCCCTCCCCCGCTGCCAGGGCGTGGCGGCACCCGCGCAGCTCGCCCCGGCCGTCCGGCGGGCGGCTTGTGTCTGCGCGTGCGTGGTGTGTCGGGGGGCCTCTTTGCGCACCTCCAGCACGCCCGCGAGGGACTGGTTCGTGAACTATGTCATCCAGAGTTTCAGCACCCACACGGTCTGAGGCCACGGCCTCTTGCGCCTTGCCCAAAGGGCACGGGCACCCCCGGTGCCCGGAACCGGCGCCTCCGCTCCGCTCCGCGAGGGACTGGTTCGGGGAGGGCACCCTGATGCTGTTCGCGTTTGTGGGATGCTCTTGTGCATCCATGGGGGAGGGTGCCCTCGAGTGACCTTCTGCTTTGGAGTGTTTCTGGCCGGAGGAGGGTCTCGCGTTCTTGGAAGATGTCCTTGTGTGTCCGAGGTCCGACCGTACACGTTCTGAGTGGTTCCCGCCTGCGTTCGCCCTTCCCTGCGTCGTTTGGCGTGTCCCGCCAGTGTCCGTTCGCCCGTGTGCCCCGATTCGTTCCGAGCGCGTCTCGCCCGTAGCCCGTCCGACGCCTGAACCGCCTTCGACCCGCTCGCGCCCGCTGACTTTCAGAACAAGTTTCCCGGGGGCCCATGGACGGTGCAGTGACCACACCGTGTTTCAGCGAGCGAATAACGGTATAACATAATTTTATTCGTTGTCGGGGGCGCCTGTCCCTGGACGGCTGGAAAGTTTATACCCCTACGGTGCCACCGTAAGGGTATAAACTTTCCAGCCGCCCACGGGCAGGTGTCCCCGACGGCGAAACAGTTCATTTTATACCGTTCTTCGCCCGTTAAGTGTTGAGAGTCAGCGGGGGTCCAGGGGGGCCGCACGGTCTTGGGCCTCGGGCCGCTCTCCGAGGACGTCTCGGGCGACTAGGGGCTCCAGGGACCCGCAGTGGCCGCGCGGCGGCGGCGGGTGCGGGGAGCCCTTCGCTCCCGGGTCTTCGCACGGTCTGTGACGAGCAGCAGGAAGAGGAGGAGGAGGAGGAGGAGGAGGAGGAGGAGGAGGAGGAGGAGGAGGAGGAGGGGGAGGAGGGAGGAAGAGGAGGAGAGGAGGAGGAGGAGGAGGAGGAGGAGGAGGAGGAGGAGGAGGAGGAGGAGGAGGCGGAGGCGGAGGCGGAGGAGGCGGAGGAGGAGGAGGAGGAGGCGCACAATCTTGGGACGCCCAATTGCTTGTTCGGCTGCTCGCGGGCCTCGCCCGCCTCTCCGCGTCCGTCCTCCCTGCTGCTCCGCGCTGCGCGCAGCTCGCGGTCTGCCGCTGCCCGTCTCGCTGCCGCGCGTGCCCTTGCCGAGCGCCCGCCGGCGCCGCGACGGAGACATACAGTCGGGGCCCTGAAGAAGGAACCCTTTTCGTTCGGGAGGGGCTCAGTGTTCCTTAGTTGTTTTGCAGTGATCCTCGGGTTTTCCTTAGGTTTTCCATGGACAATCGAAGTTCAACTTATGGGAGAAAGGGGCCCCGTTCCTTATTTAGGGTTCCTTAGGTCAACGCCCCGACTGTACGTGGCCGTCTGCCCGCAGCTGTGAGACTCGGTACCTGCAGGTGGAGCTCTCACCAGAGGAGGAAGAGCCACCACCACCAGGTCGGGGGGGGGGGCTTTGGCAACGGAGCTCTACGTCTGGAGCTCCGGTGGTGGTGGTGGCGGCCCTGCTTGCCGGATGTAGAAACGGAGCTCTACGTCTGGAGCTCTGGTGGTGGTGGCGGCCCTGCCTGCTCTCGCGTGTTCCAGCGAGGAGGGCCGTCACACAGAGAGGCTCGGAGCGAGCCGGCCGCAGGGAGAGCGGCGGGGAGGTTCGGAGGCCTGCGAAGAGGCGCTGCCGCCGGACGTCTGGGTTCTGCCGCGCTTCGGGAGGGGGACACGCCGCCGCTGGGAGCCCCCGCCCGCGCGCTGCTCCCTCGGGTTTTGTCCGAAGGTGCGGTGTTCTGGTTGCAAGGCTGGGCCCAAACGCTGTCTTGCTGGACTTCGGCCGGGCTTTGTTTTTCGTCCTGGCAGGGAGGTGCAGGGAAACAGGTGGAGCAACACGAAACAACGGAACGACAACGAAACGAAAAAAAGGTTCAGGTGCAGCCCTGTTCTTCAGCAGTGGCGCCGATGGGCTCCCGACGGTGGCGTGTCATTGCTGCTGTTTTTGCTCGCCTGACCGTTGCCGCCGCCGCCGACAGTCGCCGCCGCCGCCGACCAACGCGCCCTCCGATCGGCCGCACCGCGGCACACGCGAACATGCGCGCGCACCGCCGCCTTCAAGCGCTGCGCGTCGTTGTCCTCGTCGTCCTCGCCGTCGTCCTCGCCGTCGTCCTCGTCCTCGTCCTCGTCCTCGTGCTCGTGCTCGTCGTCGTCGTCGTCGTCCTCGTCCTCGTTCTCGTCCTCGTCCTCATCCTCGTCGTCGTCGCCGTCGTCCTCGTCCTCGTCGTCGTCGTCGTCGTCGTCGTCGTCCGCGAGGGCCCCGTGATCAGGGAGGGCGCCCTCCGGAGGGGGGAGGGCCCCCACCGGTGCCCTTTCCGCTTGCCGCGGGCTCCCCCCGCGTGCCCCTGCCGCGGCCGCCCGCAGGGCTCCTGCACGGGCGTCGAGTGGAACAGCGAGACCCGCTTCTGCCAGGCGGCCCTCTCTGGCGGCGCGCGCGGGGGGGAAGCGAGAAGGGGCCTGCCTCCGCAGAAGGCAGCGGAGGTCGGGGCTCAAGAGACGGGGGTCACGGGGGTCTGTCAGAGCGCCGGATCTTGCAGGATCTTGCAGGGCCAGGGGTGCAGTGACCCGGGTTTGGGTGCAGTATCCTGCAGGATCTCGCAGGATCCTGCAGGGCCCTTCTGACCCGGGTCTGGATTGACCTGGGTCCAGCATGGAAGGCCTCTTGCCTTCTGAGGAGTTTTTTTGAGCTCTTCCCGACCCTGGGATCCGACGTCTCGAAACATGGAGACATCGTGAAAATCACGGTTGGAGCCTTGGACCACATTTTTTTGCGCAACGCCCGGCTCGGAAAAAATAGCCTGGCGAAGGACCCAACCATATGCAGTTGTTCTGGGCGGCGACGAGGCGGCGACGGGGCGGTTACGGCGGCGACGGCCTGGCGACATAGCCGCCATACTGAAGACGCGGCCCAGGCGACGGGCGGCGACGCCCGTTCTCGTCCCCTGCCGCGGCCGCGGCGGGCCAGGATGCGTTGCGGCGCCTGCCCAGTTGCGCGGTTGCCTGGTGCTGCCCCAGTTGCCCGGGCGACCGGTTGCCAGGCAGTGCAATGACAAGTAATGCAATGCGGAGCAAAGTAATGGCAAGCAAAGTGAAGCAACGCAAAGCAATGCCACGCAACGCAAAGCAATGCCAAGCAGAGCGGAACAATACGTGGCACCCCGCAGTTGCGGGTAAGAGTGAGGGGGCGGCGGGGTTGTCGGCAGTCTGCGAGGCTCTGAAGAAACCCGCCGCAGGCGCCTAATTTTTACAAATTATACAACGAGCCCGCTGCAGGCGCCGATTATTTCGTCAATGGGTGGGTCGCGTGTTCCGCGGGTGGGTCGGTGACGGGGTCGCGGGTGGGTCGCGGATGGGTCGTGGGTGGATCGCGGAGGGGTCGCGGAGTGGGTCGTTGGGTGGGTCGCGGGTGGATCGCTGGTGGGTCGCGGGTGGGTCGCGGGATAGGTAGCGTGTGGGTCGCGTGTTGGTCGCGGGTGGGTCGTGGGTGGCTCGCGGGTGGATCGCGGGCCGGGTCGTGTGTGGGACGACGACAGCGAACAACAACAAACAACAATCAACGCAACAGCAATCCGCACCGCGGAAACTACTTCAGCTACGCGACGATCGGCCCCTTCACCCTTCACTCTGACCAAGAAGTACCAAGCAATGCTATACAATGCCAAGGAATGTCACGCAATGTCATGCCAAACAACATCAATTATTGCAAAGCAGTGCAATGTATTACAAAGCCAAGCGATGGTGTCTTACTGCGTTACTTTCTTTAAACACTTCCCCCAACTTGGGGTCACGCTGGGTTGATCGGAAGTCGGAAGTTCGCTTGGAGCGCGATGCACTCTCTTTCGACTTCATTTAGTTGGCGCGGCCCGCTTGCTTCAGACGCGACTGTGATTCACATCGCCCGAGGAGTGTCGGTCCTGTGGTGCTGCTGTATTAGGCACCGTGTCTGGCTTGCCGCGGCCGCCCAGGTCCCTCCGTCTCCGCCCGGGATGTATGGCGTTCCCATCTCTTTGGGTTTCTCAGGGTGCAACTCCTGGGAGGCTGAGGTCAGCATCGGCGCTGGTATACCTGTGTCGCAGACCAGCCTAACCCGGCATACCCCAGTTATGCTTGCATCATCCCACTCGAATGGCTTGATTATGTGTTTAAGCTGGGCTAATCTGGTTTACTGGCCCAATGGTGGGACTGATAGCTTCTAATCGTTTTTACGAAGACATCCCAGAGGTTGCCTCAGAAGGTTTTGCTCTAATTGATTGTTGCTCTCATTTTCTCTGCATCATGCCTGTCTTCTCTGCCTCTCACCTGGGAGCAACCGGCCATAGCGCACGCTTCAGCACCAGGTGGTCGACTTAGCGCGGCCCTCCGCCTGTTGGGCCCGCGATTGCGACCCGCTGGGTCTTTGGAGCACCGTTCTCCCTTCTCCTCTGTTGCGTGGCTGGCGCGCAGCCGTGAAGCGGTATTGCGACGCCCTGCGAGGCCACGGCATTTGTGTTCATGTGCTTTGCACTCTAGACAGGGCACGACAGGCCCAGCATAGCTCCACGTAGGGCGCGGCACAACTGGCCGAGTGTTGGGACCGCTAGGGTCGGGCACAACAGGTCCAGGACAGCTCCACGTAGAGCGCGATGCATTTGCATTTCTCTCTCCCCGCGGGGGTGTGATTTCTCGTGGCAGCCCGCGCCTCTGCCAGCCAGTGGGGCCCGAAGGCGGCCCCTTGGACGCCGAAGAGAGCGAGGCACAGGCACGGCCGGCACGGAGCAGCATCGCGGCGGCAGAGGTCTGCGGAAGGGGCGGGGCGAGGGTGATGCCCTCGCCCGTGCCGTTCGGGACGGAGAGGGCCAGGGTTAAGCCAGGCTTGTCCCTTTACCACGAGAAACATTCAACAATAACCAAGGACCAGTCTTGGGGACGATCTTTCTACTGTTTTCGACTATTTGTTATTCTTGTTTGACTATGCTCTATTTCTTCCAAGATCCCCCGGTAGGAGGACATGCCCGACCTAAGCTTATGCCCGCGCCCGTGCCGCGCGGGACGGAGAGAGCCAGTATGTTGACGCTCTGGGCGGATGTTTTGGATCTCCGTGGGGCCCACCTGGCGGCGCCTCCGGCGCCGCTCCTGGCGCGCTCCGCGCGCCAGGGAGGGGGTCCAGCGCAGATCCGAATAATCCGCGCGGGCCGTCGACAGTTTATGTTATGTCTTTCTTTTTCCTCTACCATCCCCATTCCCATCCCGAGCACGACGATCTCAGCACCCCAATTGGGTATATATATATATATACCCCTCAGAACCCGAAAGAAGCACCCTAGATTCCTATCTAGCGGGGTAAATCGGCCAGTGGGGCCGTGGCCACGCCGTTGGGGATAGGGGTCGGATCAACGATGCTCAGTGTGCACTGCGTGCAGCTGGATTGGGCCCCACCTCCAGTCAGTTCCTTCGGTACACTGTCGCTACCGTCGCCTGGAGTCGCCCGAAAGACCAGCTGCAGGTACAGTAGCATTGCACCGCGTTATCGCGGCTGCGACCCCGACGCGGGCGTTGTAGGCTGTTGGTCGCCAGTTGAATAAATCGGCCGATCTCGAAGGATCTGGGCGATCGGATGGCCTCGATCGTTCAAGGCTGAACGATGCATGCCATGCCAAAAAACAACTTGCGAGGACCTCGTCACCACAGGAGCCTGCCGCAACCGATTCGCGAAGCTCCCTTTCGCTGGGCATCACTTTCTGCCCCACCCGACCGTGGCAGGTCACCTTTTTGTCCTCCTCCTCATTTTGTCGCACCCGGCCGCGGCAGGTCTGGTTCAAACCGATCAAGTTCACCGCCATCAAGCAGGGCCATCAGTGCTTCGTTCGACAGCAGGCGCCGGCGCGGTCCTGGTGGCACCCTCCCCTGCTCTCTGCTGCCGCTTCCTCTCCTCCCCGCCTCCCTTGCACTTGCCCTCCTCCTTTCTTTCCCTAGATCCCCAGGCGTCGCGAAAAGTTTCGACGTTGCGAATGCAAACATGCTCAGAGACAGCCGTGAAGGGATCTGGGTATGTTTCGCACGGGGATGCGTGTTTTCGCAAATTTCTGCGCGACCCATACGCGGGCTTGACGGCCTTGCTGGTTTGGCACTAAATTGCGCAAGGGTGGCGCTGCGCTAGACTCATGCCGACTTGTCAGGTGCGCGACTTGATGGCGCGCGTCATCTTCGGAACTCGCGACTAGCTATCGTCATGTCTATGGGCTATGGGCACAGTGTGGGCACAGTCCCCATCAGCGTCCGCGTCATCACGCATTCATTCTGCGTTCTGCGTTAATCCAGAGATCATCCAATGCCAACATATGCCCAACACACATCCAGCAAAAGCCCAACATACCAAACATGGACCCGTGCAGGGGCGGCCCGACGCGATGAAGAGCCCCATTCTCTCTATTCCGACGTCGCTCGCCGACGCGCCGCCGCTGCATCGGCGCTGCGGCGCGATCCCCCGACCCCATCTGTGCGGGGCGGGTCCCTACACCAGTATCGGTTAACCTAACCCCAACCCCATGAAGCCTCCCACCAGCCCACCCCCTCCCGCCGCCCCCGACTTGGGGATATACCCTCCAAAACCCGAGGGAGACGGCCTATATCCCCATCTCGGGGGGTAAATCCCCAAGTGGAGAAAAGGCCACCTAGATGGGGATAGGGATCATCTGAGATGATCCCTCGTCGGGGGCCTCGGCAGGCGGCGAAGATGCACACACTCTCGGGCCGGGAGAGGGGCCACACGCATCCGCAGTCACCGCGAGCCGAGCTCCCCCGAAAAGGCCGAGGCCCGAAAAGGCCGAGGCCCCGAGCTCCCCCGAAAAGGCCGAGGCCCCGAAAAGGCCGAGGCACCGAGGCCCCCGCTCCGCAGTATGCACTCCGGCCCACCCCGCTCACTCCGGCCCCGTTTGGGCGGCCTCCAGGCTTGGGTCGGGCGAGAGGGCAGGGCTCGTCTCGGCCCCTCCGATCCGACTCGATTGGACTTCGATGGCCTCCGATTCCGGTTTGGCTCGGCTTGGGGTTCCGATGTGGCCTCCGAGTTCTCAAGGGAGGCCTACCAGCCTGCAATTTTCTGATTCTGCCATTTCGTCTTCTTCCGATTTGGCTGCCGATTTTCGCCGATCCGGTTCATGTCGATCGCCGATCCGACTTATGGATCCGATCTTGGGCGAAGGGGTACAACATGTGCGTGCAGCCGGTTCCGGCCCTGCCGCCAGGCCGCTCCTCGGTACGCTGGCGGCCGTTGGCGCCGGGAGGCGCTGCGTGAGCCGATTCGCCACACGCCCGTCGTTGAAGGTAGGCGTTCTGGATTCCCAGATCTCAATCGATTTTAGCCGTCTTCCTACTTCAAGAGTCGAGCGGCGGCCCCTCTTCCCTCCTCTTCAGGGGGCGCGCGGAAACCCAGCCTACTGCCAACACCCTCGCACTTCAGGGTTCTACTTACCTCTTCCGACCGACGGGTCCCCCCCCCTTTTGCTATCAGACCGAAAGGTCGTGGGCGAGGGCATGCCTACAGGGCCCTCAGCCCTCCTTGCTGCCCTCCTCTTCCTCCTCCCCCTTCTCTTCTTCCTCCTCTTCCTCCTCCTCTTCCTCCTCCTCTCCCTCCCACCCCTTCTGCCCCTCTTCCCCCTCCTCTTCCTCCTCCTCCCCCCCCTCCTCCTCATCCTCCTCCTCCTCCTATTCCTCCTCTTCCCCCTCTTCCTCCTCCTCCTCCTCTCCCTCCTCCCTCTCTCCCCCTCCCCCCTTCCCCCCCCTCCGCCCCCTCCTCCCCCCTTCTCCCCCTCCTTTCTCTCTCCTCCTCCTCCTCCTCCTCCTCCTCTCCCTCCCCCACCTCCTCCGCCCCCCCTTCCTCCCATCGCATGCCTCTCCCGCCCTCTCCCCCCCCCCCACCGGCGCGGCGGGCGAGGATAGCACGACGCCGCTGCCCAAGGTCGGCGAGGTGTCCCAGAAGGAGCCCGCGGAGGAGACCCCCCCCCTCCTCGGGCTCCCCTCCTCCTGGCTCCCCTCCTCGCACCCTGGTTGTTCACGAGGGGAGTGAGGCCCCGCCGCTTTCTCCTCCCCTCCCTCCGCCTAATTCAAGCTTCGTGCGGCCCGCTAAGCTTCGACCGGAAGAGGTGCGCTCTCGACCCGCGGATCAAAAAGAATTGTTCACGAGGGGAAGTATTGAGCCCCAGAATGGACCGCTGGTCCCTTGAAATCGCCCTCTCGAGCGGGACATCATCACGATGTGTGCAGAAATCGCGCTCTCGCGTGGGACCACCTCGTAATCTATCGACACGCCGCGCCCTCGACACTCAAGATTCACACTCTCGTTCTGGCCTTTCTGACGATCTATGCGGACATAGCACTATCGCTCGAGACGTCTGCGCGATTCATGCATCACTGACGCTTCAACGACCCGCCCGCTCGACCCGCCCTGTCAGGGGTCGCCAACCCGACCCGCCCGTCTGGTTCTGCCGCGTCTTATTCTGCTCCTCCCCCTCTCGAGTTAATGTATGTCGTGATCCATCATCGTCCTTCCCCTTTGTCTCTCCCCTTCTCCCCCTCTTTCTTTGGGTTAGGAACTCCGCCAACTACACGTGGCATGTCAGTCAGATATCGCCCCAAGGGCCCCAAGGGGTGTACGATCGAAGACGAAGAAGGCGGGTATCGAGGGTTTGGGATATAAATGTTGGGCGACACGCGAGCAGTTAAGTGTGAACCGTCTCAACAAGATTGTTGTAGCTGTTGAGTTTTCACTTTCAACGAATCATAATTGTTGATCCCCTCACCTTGCGCTTTTTCAATGAAGTGCCTCTCTCAGCGCTCGCACCCTGCTTCCTTCAAGGGCATATTTTGGGGCTCGGAATGCGCACCTGGCCCCCGAACATCAGCAGCAACGGGCCTGCCCACCCGATTTGCCTGTTTGGCTCTACGACATGCTTTCTGCTTCTAGCCCCCCTCCTGCTACCTTCTCGCGTGCTCCATCCCTCTCCCTCCCCCTTCCATCCGTCCTCTCTTCTGCAGTTTGAGATGGGCTCCGCTAAATGCACATGGCTGGAAAGGAAGATATATCCTCAGAGGTGCACGATCGAATACGAAGAGGGCGGGTACCGAGGGTCTCGGATACATGTGTTGAATGGCTTGCTAGCAGGGAGGAGCGAACAGTGTTGAAATGATTGCTTGTTTTGTTGTTTAAGTTCACAACATATAAAGTTATTGTTGATCCCCCTGGCCCCCCCCCGGTGACCATTGCATTTTCTAATTGAAGTGTTCCCGCGGGGCCCGCACTTTGATTTTATATGGAGAACTGTTGGTCACCGAAGTGCGCCCCTGGCCCCCGGTTTACAACAACATCGGCTCCCGCCAGATATTTCATCACAAAGTATTCCAAAATCGCGCTCTTGTTTGGGACTTCTTCATAATTTCTGTAGGAGTCGCGCTCTCGCGTGCTACTCCCTCGCAATTTATCGCGCCGCCGTGCTCCAAGATTCACAAATCACGCTCTCGCTTTGGATTTACTCATTAGCTATTCATCTGGGAATCGCGTTATTGCTCGAAACGTTTTTCATGATGGGTTGATGCTTTAGCGACCCGCCCGCTCGACCTGGCCGTCTGGGCCCGCCAGCCCGACCTGCCCGTTAGGGTCCACCTGCCCAACACGCCAGGATGGTTCTACCGCTTGTGCGGCTGCTCCTAACCCTGATCAAGGACATGTCTTTCGTGCTCCATCCTTCGCTCCCTTCCCCCTTGTCCCGTTTTAAGATTAAGATTTTGTATTGCGCCAACTACATTCGCCCGGTAGGGCAGATATACCCCCAAGAGGGTGCACGATCGAAGACGAATAGGGCGGGTACCGAAGGTTTGGGATAAACGTGTCGAATGGCACACGAGTAAATCAGAACGAGCAGTCTTCAAGTGATTGTGCTGTTGTTGATGCTATTGAATTCTCATTCCTTATGAAGAAGTATTGCCCTCTGATGACCATGGTATGTTTCAATTGAAGTGCCCCTCCCGGGGCTCGCACACAATTTTTCTGACAAGGGAAAGCTGGGCGTCGCCAAACTGGGTTGTTGGCCCCCGATTGACGGCAACAACGCTTCCCGCATGAGAAGTCCTCACAGTGTATTCCAAATCCGTTTTCGCGCGGGACTTCCTCACAATTGATGCGGGAATCGCGCTCTCGCATGGGACTTCTTCACAGTGTATTTTGACGCCGCGTCCTCGACACTCTCAGGTATCACGCTCGCGCTTTTGCCTCTCTCACGATTTACTTCTAGAATCGCGATATCGCTCGAGACATCCTCGCGATCCATGCAGGACTCACGCTTCAGCGACCCTGCCGTCTTGGCCCGCCCGACCGACCCGCCCGGTAGGAGGAGGAGTAGGAGGAGGAGGAGGAGGAGGAGGAGGAGGAGGAGGAAGAGGAAAAGGAGGGGTTGGAGGAGGGGGAGGGAGTGATGGAAGGGAGGACGACGAACGCGAAGGAGGGCGAAGCGAGCGAGACGCCTCCGAATCTGGGGCCGCCGGATCGGGGGTGTCTCCTCCATCAGCTGCGCCTTCGTCGCGGGCGCGTCGGGGATGGTGGGGCCCGCCGGGGCTGCTCCGGGCGGCCGCCGTTTTCGGCCCGAGGGTGCCTCGGCCGCCAAGAGCCGGAGGGAGGGCTTCGGGTCGGCGCTGTCGGGGTTCCGCCGATCTCCCCGTCGCTCCGCTGGTCCCCGCTCCGGGAGCTGCTCCGGGGCACGGCCCGGGTCCGCGCGTCCTTCGGACGGGGAGGGATTGGTGGAGGCCTCCTCGGCGTGCTCACCCGCCCTGCGTCCTCTTCCGCCCACGCTCTCTCCTGCTCCCTGCTGCTCCTGGGGGGGGGACGGGCGGAGGAGGAGGCAGGGCGGAGGAGGGAGAGGGACTGAGAGGGGGGAGGAGGGAACGAGCTATCCGTTGAGCTCTCCGTAGCTCCGTAGGTTCGTGGTGCCCCGCGGGGTAGTGGGCGCTCCGCGCCGTGTGCCTAAGCAACTACACCCCGCAGGGCCCATACGCCATCGACGCCGGGGCGGGGGGCGATGTCCCTCGGGACTTGGCCCTGAGAGCCAGGCCACCTCAGTCGAGGGAACGCTAACATGGATTTAAGGCGCGTGGATTGGCGACGGGTCCCTTTTCCATGCGAAATCGGCGTGCGGCGTTGCGAAATGAGGCGGCGCTGGCCTCATGTGTCAGGGACACCTTCCCCGATCCATGGATTTGGCGCCCACGCGCCAGATCCACGGTTTACTAATCCATGTCAGCGTGCGCCCGTTTCAGGCCGCAGCTTGGTGAGGAAGAAGAGGGAGCGCCAGGCGGGTGTCCCGCGGGTCGGGGCAGGAGGAGGAGGAGGGAGGAGGAGGATCAGTGCAAATCCAAGCATAATTCACGATACTACGACACGTCCTCCTTCCACCTTCTTCCCACATGTCCCCACAAGTCTCTCTTTTCATTGCGGGGAGTGCCGCATCGAAAGACAATGGTTTGATAGTCTTGCATTATGCCCTATATGCCCAAACGCCGTTCTTGGAAACGCTGCGAATGAACAATTCTGTTGCGTCCTGAAAGTCGTAGATCGTGCCAGGGTGCCATTTCTGGGACTTCAACACCGCTGATGAACGTGACTGTTGGGTCCTGGCTATCGAACCCTCGGAACGGTTGTAAACGTTTGAGACGAATGCGCGCAGCGCTAAGTTAAGAGCGGCATGTTGAAATGGAACCACCCGCCGTCATTGAAACAGGTTGCAAACATCAAGGCGAAGGTGCCCGGCCCTGACTGAAGTGAGAGCCAGCCACATGTTGAAAACGCGCGGATTCACAAAGGTGAAGCGTAGTTAGTCTTTTTGCCCCCCCTCGCTCCGCAGTTGATTGCTTCGCGTTGCACTGTATCCTCTGCCCCCCTTGCTTCCATCCTTCATTCTGCTGCGAGCTTTTGCGAGGAGCGTTCGCCGCGGCGCGAAGAGGAGAGCTTCGATTTGAAAACGACCCGCTCTCCATGTATATTAAGAACTCATACAACTGTGAAGTTTCACGGTCATGCATGGCGCGGACGCCTTAGGCGAAATACGCAGCCCGCCCTGCGTCAAGGGGTGCAACAGGGACGAGTTATTACAAGGAAAGGGACGGAGGAGGGGGAGGAAGGGGGGCTCCTCCCAAGGCGATTCTTCCGTCTCTTGCCCCTCCCCCCCCCCTCCGCCAGGGCGCCGACAGCAGTTGCTTGGTGTCGATCGGCGCCTCCACCAGCGGTCAGGATGACCAGGAGGAAGAGGAGGAACAGAAACAATAAGAGGAGGAGTAGGAGGAGGAGGAGGAGGAGGAGGAGGAGCAGGAGGAGGGGGAATGACGAGGGGGGGAGGAGGAGGAGGAGGAGGAGGAGGAGGAGGAGGACGAGGGGGAAGGAAGAGGAGGAGGAGGAGGAGGAGGAGGAGGAGGACGAGGAGGAGGAGGAGAATGTGCGAAATTCATGAGCTGTAAGCTGTCGCGCAAGTCAAACGAAATGCCCCATGGGCTCACACCATCAGTTTTTTCCACTGGTTTGTCGCCTTCCAGTTTCCCAGGACGGTCCGGGAAATCTTCCTCATCGACCCGCCTCCTCGCCATCCTCATCTTCCCTTCTCCTGGCATCCCACACCCCAATCCACCCGCCCGTCTAGATGGCAGCACTACATCCAAGATGCAAGTAGCGTGGGCGATGCCCCAAACGAAGCTCTCGAGTAAGTATCGATGCCCAGGCCTGACGGGCACATCCCTCTCGTGCGTCGATACATCTTCTGCCTCACAATCAGAGTCAGCATCTCGCGGCGATGGCTTGGTCTTCTTGGTCTTGGGGGCACGGTGGTCTTGACCATCGGAATCTTGATCTTGGGCGACTTGCGCACGCGGGCGCGCTTGGCGGTCCTGGTGGTCTTGGGCGACTTGGAGGCTTTCGGAGTTTGGGCGCCCCGGGTGACTTAACCTTACGGGCCACCGCCGCCGCCGTCGGCCTCCGCGCGACGCTCTTGTTAAGCATGGTGCGCCTTGGGATCGGCAGGCCTGCGCGGGGCAAGGCAGCTGGCCGCTAGGGCGGTGCTTCAGCACGATCGGCAAAGGGAGGAGGTCGGAGGCGGCGCAGCAGAGGCAGAGTGTCGGCGAATGTCGCGGGAATAGAGAGACAACTGGAGACGAAACGAGAGGATCAGAGAGTAAGGTAAAGGAGGAGCGCAGAAGAGAGCAGAAGGTAGGGGAACAGCAAGGAAGAGAGAGGAAGGGAGAGGCATTGGAGAGGAATCTGAATGAAACGAGGAAGAAAGAGGAGGAAAGCGGACGAGAGCGGAAAAGAGTGGGAAGAGAGCGGATGAGAGCCAGAAAGAACCGAAGAGCGCGGAAGAGCGCGGAAGAGAGCGAGACAAGGCGGGAAAAGAGCGGACATGTTTTGTGCCAGCTAATGGTTGACAGATTATTGAACAAGACAGTCACGAAGGGGAGAACCCTTGCCAGCAATATGTTGGTCAGAGGGCGGATGAGAGCGGAAGAAAGCGAAACAGAGCGGAAGAGAGCGTATGAGAGCGGAAGAAAACGAAACAGAGCGGAAGAGAGCGGAAGGGAGCAGAAGGGAGCGGAAGAGAGCGGACGAGCGCAGAGGACAGACGAATAATGAGGAATGGATCTGATAGGAAGGGTATGGCAATGAGGGGGGATGATGAGAGCGAATGGGAGACGAAAGGAGGTAACGACCCCCGGCGCGAGCCCTGCCACGCTCGCACTGTCCATCCCGGGAGCGCGGTGCCCTCCCGGGCCCCCCCATCGGAGCCTTCATGGGGCATTCGTGCGACCGCAGGACCATCAATGACGGTCTGGGAGGGCCCAAATTGAAAATGATTAGTGATGGTGATATCTCCTTTATCTCATCGTCCTCCTCCTCCTTCTTCTCATCATCCTCACCCTCCGCCTCATCATGAGCCTCACCCTCATCATCGCCCTCCTCATCGTGAAGGCCGATGTTGCACATAATTAGTTAAGGATTCAACCTGGGGCCAGAAGTTAAAAAGCACCGGCCACGAGGGGGGAGAGAGGGGAGAGGAGGAGCAGGAGGAGGAGGAGCAGGAGGACAGTGGAAGTGCAAGTGCTGTCTTCCTCCTCCTGCTCCTCCTCCTCCTCCTCCTCCTCCTCCTACCCCCCCTTTCTTCCTAGCCGCCCTCGTCCTCCCCCAGGGGAGGGGGGTCTCTTTATGAGTACACGGCGCGTCGCCTGCCGGGCGGGGCCCGTTACGCCCCCACGAGGCGGTGTATAGAGGACGAGAGAGGAAGGGCGAGGGATGGATAATCAAGCGGGCTGCGAAGGCGGAGGGAAGCGCGTCAAACAAAAACAATGATTGTTGTTCTTGTTCTGTTTCAACCGGTTCAGGCCCAACGAGGCCCAACATCACCAGAACCAGAGCACACGAGAGGTCATGAAATTTAGCAGGAGGAGGAGGAGGAGAAAAGGGAGGGGGAGGGGGAGGAGGAGGAGGAGGAGGGGGAAAAACGATAGGGGAGAAGGACTCGAAGCAGGAGGAGAGCAGGAGAGGAGAATGATGGTGGTGAAGACGAGGGAGCTGCCAGGAGCCTGCGACGCAGGTTGCCGTTGCAGCTGCAAGGGGGCGCCGGGACGGAGCGGCCCAAGGCGTCCAGAAGCATCAGTCCTCGTTCTATCGATCCTCGAAGATCAACTTCGAGGATCGATCCTCGATCCTAGATCCTCGATCCTCGATCCTCGAAGATCCTAGATCCTCGATCCTCGTCCTCGTCCAAAAGCATCAGTCTTCGGTCTTCCATCGGAGATCAACCCTCGATCCCAGTCGTCGCTCCTCGGTGCTCAGCATCGACCTGCGATTCTCCTCATCCGTGTGCCCAGACCTCGTCCAGGCAAGGCGCCATGCTCTCTCCCCGATCCTCATTCCCCTCTGAGTAACCGTCGACCGCAAAAGCCCCATCCTCGATCCCCGATCCTCCTCCCCATGCACAATCTTCGATCCAACAACTGTTTCAACCCTTTCCCCCCCAGAAACTCGCTTCCCAGGTCCTCCATCCTTCATCCTCCTGGTCGATGTTCGGTCCCCCCTTCCTCCCCCGAGATATCTGGCGGCTTGATATGTTCGGGGCACGGGCCCCACACTTCCCCGGGTTGGGGGTTGCTGAAGGTGCCCCTGGACCAAGGTGCCCACAGCTTTTCGCTCAATCTTGGAACCCTGGGGACCACTGGGCCTCGGTTGCGAAAGGTTCCCCTGGCCCAAGGTGCCCACATCTTTTCGCTCAATCTTGGAGCCCTCTAGGCCTCGTGAGCGGTGCTCTGGAGGGCGTGGTTTCCCCCTTTGGAACTCCTGGGGGCACCTTTGGGCCAGGGGCACTTCCAGCAACACCCGACCAGCGGGCTGGCTTTCCATCCTGAGCCGTTGGGGGACGGCCCCGGGCCCCCCCCGCCCGGGGGTCCTGGGACGGGCCGCGGGAGGCAGAGATTCACGAGACCAGGCGCAGTCAAGATTTTCGTTCCGAGCCAGTTGGTGTCTGAACCCTTCTGCTTGGCATCGCTGGGACGTGTGCATTGCTTCCCCGACAGGGACCATGGAGGAGCATTTTGGGTCAGCTTGCGAGAAGATGCACGCACGACGCCGACAAATGCACGGGGAATGGACGTCCGAGCGGTGGCGAGTAGCCTTTCTGCCCCCTCATTCTGGACGATCGACATGGGTACGGACAGAGTGGGCACAAAGAACGACAGCATTCCCTGTGGCGTGGCCGCGAACGTTGTCCATTTGAGACAGAAGGCCGCCTGCCCAACAGCGGCCGCTCTCGGTTTGGGGCAACATGTGTCGTTGAGCATCGTACCCACTATTTCCGTACCCACTTCGGGCGTCCAAATTCATCTTCTCATCGGCGATTTGAGGAGGGGATAGGCTCAGGCATTGTGCATTGAACCCCCATCGCCAATGTTTGCCTCCGATGGGTGCCAGACAGCCCACCCCGCTCAGGAACGTGCGGTTTTGCTAATCGGGGTCCTGACGATCTGTCGGCGATGTATCGCTGATTCCACGCCGATGTTTGTCCCCTCTGAGTCGGTGCACCCCCCCTATTCCTCAGAAGACGAAAACCCACACCCACCGCCGAACCAGCCATCCGGGTGGTCGGGACTGAGGGCCGCGTGTGTGTGTGTGTGTGTGTGTGTGTGTGTGTGCGTGTGTGTGCGTGTGTGCGTGTGTGTTTTTGGACCCTTGAGCCCCTGAAAAAAAAACGCACCCGCACTCCTAGTCCCGACCCCCTGGATCGCATGCTCGGGGCTGGAGGTCGGGACTGGTCGGACGGGGCTAGGACGGGGACAAATCCGCTCCAGGGCGTTCTGGAATGCTCTCAGAGCTTTCTGGAGCGCTCTGAGAAAGCTGCGGCGCCCGAGACATTTTCCAGAGCCGCCAGACCTCAGAGGTGTTCGATTCATCCTCACCCGAATTTATCTTCGCCCGGGGGGTTCTTCCTCTTCTGAATCCCCCGCCCCTCCCCCTGGATGTGAGCGGCGAACAAAAAACGGTGTCGTTTGCCCTGAAAGTGGCGCCCGAGCTGCTCGCGTGAGGTCACGCTTGAGCGCTCTCGTCTTCAGTGTGGCGTGCCGCGCTGGCGGCCCGCGTATGGCGGAGGCCCATGCCAAGATTCACCCTGCTTGCCTCCAGGGTGCGCTCTAGGTTTCTTGGGTTTCGATTGGTTTTACTATAGAAGGCGTGACGTTCCCGCACCAGAATCAATGGACGTCCTGGGGTTCCAGGGTTGGGTTTCTTGTGGAAAGTGTCTTGTGGTCGAGCTCCTACCGTACGCCACCACGTAAGGTCGCTACGCCATTTCGCGTGAGACCCGTGTTTGATCGTCGCTCACGTGGCGCAGGCAGTGGGTGCAACAGCGTCGAGGACATGGAGACGTGCCTGCGGAGCCGCGACGGGAGAGGGCGACGGCCTCAGCCCGCTCTCTCGCGCGTCGTTGCCGCCGCCGGCGGCGGCGGTGTCGTGGGGGGGGGTCAGGGCAGGGCAGGGCTCGGACCCTCTCGTCGGCTTTGCTGTGGTCTTCCGACCCGGGGGCGTGCGTTCCAGCCGCTGCGTCTCTGCCGGGAGAGCCTTCCAGAGTGGTCCCGCAAGATCGCCGGAGGCTCCGCGGCGTTCGACCCGGATTCCGAGACCAAGGGGGGGGGGAGGATGAGGAGGAGGAGGAGGAGGAGGAGGAGGAGGAGGAGGAGGAGGAGGAGGACAGGAGGAGGAGGAGGAGGAGGAGGAGGAGGACCAGTGTAAACCCAAGAGTCATCAACGATGTTGGAATACACCCTCCCTCCAAGCTCCCTCTTCATAGGCCCCTACAACGGTTTATTCCCATTGAGGGATCTGCTTTGTTGGAAGACATCCCGTTGAAGACCCGGGAGCATGCCAAAACATTTGTTCGGGGTTCTAGCGCCACGTATCAGCCTGGCTGTTGCGTCTTGACGATCCTGGATCCTGCCAGAACGCCATTCTTGGGATTTCAACACCGCGAATCAACGTAACTGCTGCACCCGCAAAATCCAGAATCCCTCCAAAACATAATTTCTGGTACGTTGATCGTGGGAATCCGTGAAGCTCTTGCACATGTTATGAACGAGCATGCGTAGCGCTAAGGCGAGAGCCACATTTTGAAAAGGAACCGCCCTCAATCCGTGAAACGCTTGCGCTTTTTTAGAACGAATGTGCGCGGCGCGAAGGCGAGAGCCACATTTTGAAAACGGTTTATCCTCAACCCGTGAAGCTCTTGCAAAAGTTTAGAACGAATGTGCGCGGCACTAAGGCGAGAGAAACATGTTGAAAACGGGTTATCCTCAATCCGTGAAGCTCTTGCATTTTTGGGAACGAGTGTGCGCGGCGCGAAGGCGAGAGCCACATTTTTTAAACCACCCGCCTTGCACCTGCGAAATTGTTTTCAAATTTAAGCTTCAGGGCCATAAATGGTGAGGAAGTCTCAGACGAAACGCCCGGCCCGACCTAAAAACTAGCCTCGGGGTGCGACAGGAAGAAAGTATGTTTGAAAATCACCCGCCCTCAATCCGTGAAGCTCTTGCACATGTTTCAAAGGAATGTGCGCGGCGCGAAGGCGAGAGCCACATGTTGAAAACCACTCGCCCTCAATCCGTGAAGCTCTTGCAAACGTTTGAAACGAATGTGCGCGGCGCGAAGGCGAGAGCCACATTTTGAAAACCACCCGGCCTCAATCTGTGAAGCTCTTGCAAATGTTTGAAACGAATGTGCGCCGCGCGAAGGTGACAACCGCATTTTGAAAACCATCCACCCTCAACCCGCGAAGCTCTTGCAAATGTTGCAAACGAATGCGCGCGGCGCGAAGGCGACAGCCAAATTTTGAAAACCACCCGCCCTCAATCCGCGAAGCTCTTGCAAACGTTTAAAACGAATGCGCGCGGCGCGAGGGCGAGGGCCACATTTTGAAAACCACACGCCCTCAATATGTGAAGCTCTTGCACATGTTTTTAAGAATGCCCTCGCGGCGCGAGAGCGGGATCCACATTCTGAAAACCACCCGCCCTCAATCCGCGGAGCTCTTGCACACGTCTAAAACGAATGTGCGCGGCGCGAAGGCGGGAACCGCATTTGTTGAAGAAAACCGCCCGCCTTCAATCCGTGAAACTCTTGCAAACGTTGAAGACGAATGTGCGCGGCGCGAAGGCGAGAGCCACATTTTGAAAACCACCCGCCCTCAATACGCGAAACTCGCTTCCGGATGTTTAAAACGAAAGCGCGCGGCGCGAAGGCGAGAGCCACATGTTGAAAATCACCCGCCCTCAATACGTGAAACTCGTTTGCGGATGTTTAAAACGAAAGCGCGCGGCCCGTAGGCGAGGTTCACAGTTTGAAAACCACCCGCCCTCAATACGTGAAACCCGTTTGCGCGGCCCCGTAGGCGAGGTTCACATATTGAAAACCACCCGCCCTCAATACGTGAAACTCGTGCAAAGGTTTAAAACGAATTTGCTCGGCGCGAGGGCGAGAGCCGCGCTTTGAAAACCATCCGCCCTCAATACGTGCAACTCGTTTTCAAATGTTTAAAACGAATGTGCGCGGCGCGAAGGCGAGAGCCGCATTTTGAAAACCACCCGCCCTCAATCCGTGAAACGTTTGCGGATGTTGAAAACGAATGTGCGCGGCGCGAGGGCGAGAGCCACATTTTGAAAACCACACGCCCTCAATCCGCGAAGTTCTGGCACATGTTTGAACCGAGCGTGCGCGGCGCGAGGGCGAGGGCCACATTTTGAAACCCACCCGCCCTCAATCCGTGAAGCTGTTGCCATTGTTGAAGCGTCATATTCATAAATGGTGAGGAATTCTCCAGGCGACGCGCCCAGCCCGCTTTAAAATCTGGCTCCGTGGTGCGACAGGGAGAAGCTTCGCAGAAGGAGAAGGAAAAGAGGAGGAGGAGGAGGAGGAGGAGGAGGAGGAGGAGGAGGAGGAGGGAGGTGGAGGAGGAGGAGGAGGAGGGCCCAGGCCGTCCAGTGCTCGGATTTTGACGTGGAGTCCGAAGACCGAGGCAGGGGGTCCCGAAGGAAGCTGGTCCTGAGGTTACTCGCCGTGCTCGGGCTCTCGAGGCTCCTCGCGGGCCACGGAGCGCGCTCCTTCGGGAGACTGCCCCCCGGGGGTCTGGGCCCCGTCTGCCTCGGGCATGTGTTCGCTCGTCTCTTCCTGCCGAGGAAGGGGGGGCAGGAGGGCGGGGGGGGGAGGGGAGGCGAGAGGGGGGGGGAGAGGCGGGAAGGCGGACAGGGAGCGAGGGAGGGAGGGAGGGGTGGGGGAGGCAGCGGGAGGAGAGTGGTGGATCGCGGGGGGAGAGGGAGGGAAGAGGTGGGGCGGGGGGGAGGGCGGGGGGGAGGGAGGGAGGAAAGGAGGGGGATGCGAGCGAGGAGGAGGAAGAGAGGAGGAGGGGCACGGGGGGGGGAGGGGAGGATGAGGAGGATGCGGTGGAGGATGCTGAGGAGGATTGGGCGGGGATGGAGGGAGGGAGGGTGGAGCAGGAGGAGGAGGGAATTGCGGTTCGCTGTGCTCCAGTGTGGATTTCGTTTGCGCTGTAGTTGTTGCACTGTTCTCGCCTCATGTGGGATGGCTTCTGCCCTGCGTATGCCCAGCACTCCCGACTTGCGCCATCGATCTTCACGCCTCCGTTGCACGCGCCTCGCAGCTGCACGCTCGACGGGGCCGCCAGCTCGCAGCCGATCAAAGCCCCCGGATCCACAGTACATTGGACCTGTCTGTCTCTAGGCCTCCTGGATGGGGTCGGAGTGGATGGGGTCGGAGGATCTCTCCGCATCGCCAATGCATCGCCGATGCGGCTCGATGTGGGGCCTTATTTGTTGCACGTCGACGTCGCCGATGCATCGCCCAGGTCGACGATGCATCGCCGATTCATCGCCGACGCATCGTCGATGCATTGGCGATGCGGCGCGTTCCTCCGACCCCATCTACTCCGACCCCATCTAAGAGGCCTCTACTGTCGAGCTCGCTCGCAGCCCGTCAGGCTTGCGGTGGCATCTCTCGAAGAAGGCAACTCTGCATACAATTGCAACCAACTGCATTTCCGGAGGTCCGCTCGGGTTTCTTGGGTCGGCCCGGGGCCACCTTGGCCACGCCTCCAGCGCTGGCCCTGGCGTGCCTGGCGTCGTGCGGTCTTGGGCGCGAGCCTCCGAGAGGTGATGCCTGTGCCGCTGTGCGTCGGATGCGCCCCGCCGTCGGCTCGACCGCTCGCTGGACCCAAGTCGCCGCGGGCCGATCAGAAGGTTTGTGCCGCTCTTCCCTCCCGCGGACCTCGGTGCCGTGCTCTCCCCGCGCCCCGCTGCGGGCTGCGGCCGCGTGCAGCGGCGGCGCCGCGGGCCGAGATTTCGCGCGGCGGCGCGGCGTGCGGGCCGCGGGTCGCGTGGCCGTGCGGCCGTTGGGGGCCGCGGCCGCGGGCAGCGGGTCCTGCCTGGCGGTTGCCCCCCCCCCCCCCCCCCCAGTGGATCCCCGAGTCCTTGGTGCTGCCATGGGTTGACCGAGAGCGCCCAGGGCAAGCACCGCCGCCCGCTGCCTCGTGGAAGCCCGCGTGCGGCCAGACGTCGGGCCGACGTCTGGCCAAGCCACTGGGCTAGGTGCTCCCCAGGCCGTCGTGGAACCCCTTGGGGGAACATTCGGAAGAGGAAGCGAGAGGAGGAAAAGGAGGACGAGGAGGACGAGAAGGAGTTGGAGGGACCCTCGTGGGGCTTTTTGGGGGCTTCTAGGGAACCTCTTGGGAGCGTTTGAGGTGTTTGCTGGGGGCCTCCCGATGCCTGTTGGCGGCCTTCTTGGGCTGATTGAAAGCATCTTCGGGGCCTCTTTGCGGCTCCTGGGGGCCTCTACGAGACCTTTTGGCCTTCGGATGCCGCCTTGGGGCCCTCTCTGGACAGCCGTCGGTCCCCCTTTGGGCGACTCAGGGCCGACTTGGAGGTCTATGGGGCCGTCTTGGGGGCATCTTGGGCCGTCTTGAGGCCCTCTTGGGCCCTCTTACGGGCCTACTGGGTGCCTTTCAGGCCGTCTTGGGGCGAACTTGGAGACCTATGTGGTCGTCGTGGAGCGTCGGCAGCCTGAAAAGGCGAGAACAAGTAAACCATCAGTATGCCAAGTTAAGGAATGTGGCCTCCTGAAGATTCTCTTGGATTCTTCTTGGGGCGTCTTCGGGGCATCCTGGGCCGTCTGGAGGGCATCTTGGGCCGTCGTGGTGCCGTCGTGGCCGTCTTGCAGGCGTTTTGGAACAGTCGTGGAGGCTATCTTTGGGCCATCTTGGCCGTCGTGGAGGCCATCTTGGCGGTCGTGGAGGCTTTCTTGGCTGTCGTTTCCTGATACCCTGTAAATCGGAGATTTTGTAGGTGAAGGACATTTGCAACTGAGACGCGGTCCGTCGGTTCATCGTTTGTCCGTCTCAGGGGATTCATGCACACTTGGCAGCCTCCACGGGCAGTCCCTAGTGGCGCGCGCAGCGCGCCACTCGGGGAGCAGGGAATTGATGGCAGATGCCAGGCAGGGTAGCACCCAGGCTGGGCGATGTCGGACCTGCGTCTGCACAGTGTGCTGCTGGGCTGGGCACCCTCTCAGAGATTGCGGCAGAATTGCAGTGCACGCAGCACTAAAGGAGGGGGAGGTTTCGTTTGGATCCGTCGCCGTGCAACTTCTCATCACTCTGGGTTCGCAACGACTGCGATTCGGCGGAGTAGGTGAAGCAGTACCTACTCCGCGCGGAAACGCGTCCCCCTCGATGAATCCTACAATTCGGTGCGGAGAGGTTTCCGGTCTCCATTCGAACAAGCAAAGGTGAACACCATCATGGGACCGAATTTTTCGTCGAATCCATTATAGCCAGATGTCATGCAAGGAATTTTGAGAGAGATTGGAGTTTCATTTATCATAGAAGGATGGTGCCCCCAAAAGAGGCTGCTTGAGGCTGACGGTGGCTGTCGCTGGGCAGACGGAGCAAGGCGAACTGAGGCAACGGCAGCTCAAAACCGGTCCCTGAGGCTTTCGCCCCAAGGGGCCCGCAGGAGGACACAAGAGGCGGCGGTGTGTGTGTGTGTTGTGCGGCACAGCGTTGGACCGCCCACGGGTCAAGTGAAGCGGCGGCAAGCGCACGCCTGCCAGCACCCACGGAGGCGATATCCCATTCAGGTGTGCGTACGGCACGCTTTTGTGCAGGACAATGGTAGAGGCCCCACGCACGGCCCGAGGACGACGACGCCGCCGCCGCCTGCGACGACGACGACGACGACGACGACGACGACGACGACGACGACTGCCGACGACGACGACGACAACGACGACTGCCGACGACGACGACGACGACGACGACGACGACGACGACGACGACGACGACCACCACCCCGCACAGGCGCTGGATAATGGCAAGAGTTGCCACGCTTGGCAGCACCCAAGGAGGGTGCGGTCACGCTCTTCAGCTGGACCTATAGGCAACGTCGGCCGTTGTACGCTCCGCTGCCGACGACGACGACGACAACGACGACTGCCGACGACGACGACGACGACGACGACGACGACGACCACCACCACCCCGCACAGGCGCTGGATAATGGCAAGAGTTGCCACGCTTGGCAGCACCCAAGGAGGGTGCGGTCACGCTCTTCAGCTGGACCTATAGGCAACGTCGGCCGTTGTACGCTCCGCAGCACCCAGGGCAGGGCGAGGTTGCACCTGGGTCTGCGTGGCGCCCCACGCTGCTAGACCGCCCGAGGGGCGCAGAAACAACGGGCGACGGCTGCACGCCTAGCAGCACCCAGGGGGCGCGACATCTCATGTGGGCCTGTGCCGCACACCGCTCCGCTGACCCCCGCGCAGGGAAAACTCGCGATGGCCGATCGCCTGCTACAGCACCCTGAGACGCGGTTCCGGTTGGGCCTGCGAAAGCACGCCACCGCGCCGGACCTTTGGGATCGCACGCCCGGCAGCATACAGGGAGGACGAGGTCTCACGATGTGCATGCCACGCCGTTCCGTGGGCCCCACAGGGGCGCAGGCAAATGACGACAGTTGCGCTTTTGGCAGCACCCGGCGAGGGCGAGGTCTCGTCATGGTGTGCGCAGCGCGGGCCTCTTATGGACCCCGCATGGGGCTCAGGAAAGACGCTGGGGTGGCACGTGCCAGCAGCACCTGAGGTACGCGAGGTGCCACCTCAGTCTGCGTAGCACGCAATTATGTTGGCTCCCAAGGGCGCAGGAAAGTGGCGGCCATTGCGGCGAACTGGCGACAGTTGCGCGCCTGGCAGCACCCAGGGAGGGCGAGAGAGGAGAGACAGCGAGAGAGCAGGGGAAGCTGTGAACGAAGCTGGGACGAGGGGAATGGATAAGAGAACGGATGACAGCGAAGGCGAGCAACCGATGTTGTTTCGGAGCCACCAGGTGTATGGGTCGTCGTCGCCGCCGTCGTCGCCTGGGCGCGGCGGCGGCAGCACTCTCGATCTGCTGGGCGAGCTTTGGACGCCGCCGCTTCGCCGTCGTTACCGCCGCCGCCTGCACCGTCGTCGCCGCCGTCCGCCGCCGCCGCCGCTCTCCCCGCCGCCGTCGTCACCCTCGCTGTCGTTGTCCCCGTCTGGGACGCGCGCGCATCGTCGTCGTCGTCGTCGTCGTCGTCGTCGTCGACGCCGACGCCGCCGCCACCGCAGCCGCCGCCGCCGCCGTCGCCGCCGCCGCAGCCGCAGTCGTCGTAGCCGTCGTCGGCGTCGACGATGAGACGGTGCCGTCGTCGCCGTCGCCGTTGTCGCCGTCGCCGCCGCCGTCTCGCGTACGCACCGGCGGCAGCGACCTCGACATGTTCGGCGAGCCCTGCGTGTGGTGCGGCGGCGGGGCATGCCAGAACGAGACGCTGGATCCAGAGCAGAGGAGGACGCCGTCTCTGCAGGTGCCTCGATTAATTCGCAAACGGCTGCATCGACATAGACTTCTGGAAATCTGCGTGTATGTTTGCGTAGTCGGTGGTTCCTTTCTCCGGGGAGTTTTCTCTCAGCATCTTGTCTTCTCTGACCATCTTCCACCGGATCTTTCTCTCCTTGCTCTCTTCCGCCTCCCCGAAGCTCGAAGCTGGCGGCTCTTGTCCTGAAGTCAGGTGCAGCCGTCGCCCCCCCGCCCCACCGTCTGGTGCAACTGAGGAGGGGGGACATTGTGGGAAAACGACCGGATCCTGGTGGGGCCTGCGCGGGACGACGGGAAGAAAGGGAGGACGACACGAAGGAGACCAACAAGAGAGGGCGAACCGAACGGTCGGAACGAGGGAGGGATGGACACGGGGGACACCTCCTCCCCCTCCTCTTGCGGTCGGCCCGAGGTAATTATGCGGTCGAGGTCGGTTCAGAGAGGGCACCCTAATGTTCTTCGTGTCTGCTGGATGCTCTTGTGTATCCTGGGGAGGTTACCTTTCGTTATTCAGTGTGTTGGCCGGCTGAGGGTCTCACAATTTTGAAGGATGTTCTTCTGTCCTACGTTTGGCCGTGTTCCCCTCGGGGGCAACGATAGGGGGGGGATAGGCATAGGGGGGAACGCATCGACCCCCCATCGCCCATGGATCGCAGATAGGGGCCCGATAGCCCCACCCCGCCCAGGAAGGTGCGGATTCACTATCGGGGGGCTTATCGCCGATCTATTGGCGATGTACCGCCGATTCCAGGTCGATGCATCCCCCCCACGTGCGCACCCCCCCGATCGTTGCCCCTCGCCTCCTCTTCGTGCCCGCATGCCGCGCGAGTCCCACAGCCCTCTGCAGGCGCCTCCGCCGCGCGCCCCTGCGGCCCGGATCTGGCGCACGCTCCGAGCCGATCCAGTTTTCTGGGCCGATGCCGACCGTCAGGGGGGGAGCATTCAGGGGGGGAAAGAAACACACAGACACAATGAAGCGTCGATCCCCCAGGAAATATGGGAACATCCGTGAAGTAGGGGGGACGACAAAAAACCCAGAAAATATGGAAAAAGATGGGGACTCTTTTTATTTGTGTGTATTTATTTGTGTGTCCCAGGGCCCCTTCAAACATGGGCCACCGCCACCGAGTATCAAAGGGGAGCTGGTTGAGGAAACGGCATCTGGCCTTCGGGGGGGGTCCTCGTCGCCACGGTTGGACGCAGTTCGACGCACTGCCTTTGGACCCCAGGAGGGGTCCTGGGATCCCAGGTTTGATTCTGAGCCGCCGTTGTCTCAAGTCCCCCTGCCCCGAGAGAAGTTGTCAGAGGCTCAGTCCTTCCCTGGAGGGGTTCTCGCTGGCAGTGGCCCACGCTACCCTTCTGAGACCGCGCCTGCCCCGACGCCGGCCTGACCCGTCTCCCTGCGCCGCGCCAGGTGGCCCCTCCCCCTGAGATCCGAGGTTGCGAACAAAAATACAGCCTCGCGAAGCATTTTGACCTCGGAATCGTTTAACCGATCCCTATGCCCAACCCCATCCCCATCAACCGATCCCTATGCCCAACCCCATCCCCATCGCGATCCCCTCCATCCCACTACCCCAGTTGGGGATATACCCCTCGAAGCCCGACGGAATCAGCCTACGTATATCCCTATCATCCAGGGGGGTGAATCGGCCAGTGGGGCCCAGGCCAAGCCCACAGGTATGGGGATCGGCTGAACGATGCCCACAACCGGAGCCCTTGACCCCACCGTTCTGCGGCATTTGTTAAGCCGGATCGATCTGTGAGGGTCCCAGGGCCCGAAATCGGGCACTGAGCGAATGCCCGCCTAGACAAGGCGACTGAGGGAATCTGCGTTTGTTCACTCGGCATTGGCATTCGAGTGTGCTGGTGCGGTCCCCAGTCTGTTTCGCTGCTCGATCGGCGTGCGTTTCGCTGGATCCATTCGTTCTTTGTTGGACGTCGACTTTTATTTTTTCTCTTGCACAGGGTGTCCAGAGCTCCGACCACTTTATTCCGCGTCGCGCACACACACATACACACGCACACGCACACGCACACACACACACACGCACACGCACACGCACACGCACACGCACACGCACACGCACACGCACACGCACACGCACACGCACACGCACACGCACACGCACACGCACACGCACACGCACACGCACACGCACACGCACACGCACACGCACACGCACACGCACACGCACACGCACACGCACACGCACACGCACACACACAACAACCAACCACACACCACAACCACAACCACACCACAACCCACAACCACAACCACAACCACAACCACAACCACAACACAACAACCACAACCACAACCACAACCACAACCACAACCACAACCACAACCACAACCACAACCACAACCACAACCACAACCACAACCACAACCACAACCACAACCACAACACACGCACGCACGCACGCACGCACGCACGCACGCACGCGTCTCCAGCGCCAGAGTGGGACCCCCAGCGCCGTGGCTCTCTGCCCCGAGCCCCCCCCTCCCCAGCGCCCCAGCGGGAGCCCCGCCCACTGCCCCCTCCGCCACGAACGCTTTATTCCGCGTCGCCCCCCACCCACCCCTGCGTCCCCAGCGCCAGAGTGGGACCCCCGGGCCGTGGCTCTCGGCCCCGAGCCCCCCCGCGTCCCCAGCGCCCCAGCGGGAGCCCCGCCCACCACCTCCCCCCCCCCGTCCCCAGCGCCCCAGTTGGACCCCCGCCCCGTGGCCCTCTGCCCCAAGCCCCGCCCAGTGCCCCCTCCGCCCCAACCATTTTATTCCGCGTCGCGACGCACGCCACCTCCCCCACCCTCCCCCCCGCGTTCCCAGCGCCCCGGTAGGAGCCCAGCCCAGTCACCCCGAGCCCCCCCGCGTCCCCAGCGCTCCAGTAGGAGCCCCGCTCACGCCCACAGCCCCCTCCGCCACGAACGTCCGCGTCGCACGGCCCCCACCGCCCCGCCCCCATGATCGTTCTCCCCTCCCCGCCCGCCCGGTGCACCCCGCCCCCCCTCCGCTCCGACCATTTTATTTCTGCGTCGCACCGCCCCCGCCGTCCAGCCCCCCCGAGACTTCTCCGATTTCTCGTCCCCTCTCTCCCCCCTTTCCTCCTCCTCCTTCTCCTCTTCTTCTTCCTCCTCCTTTTCCTCCTCCTACTCCTCCTCTTCCTCCTTCTCCTCCTCCTCCTTCCCCCTCCGTTTTGTGCAAGAGCCATGGCACGCGTGCCACTTGAAATACCTCGCCGAGGTGCACTCGGAATGCGGTGACGTTCGCAGGTGGAGTGCCTCCTGGCAGCTGTCACCCAGCGGCGTTGTGCGAAAGGGGGTTCTGTCCACCCTCGTGCTTTCGCAGCGTGTGCCTGAACACCAGGATTCCGATCTCGGCTCAAACGCGAATGCGACCAGCATGTAACCAGGACATTTTGTTTTTACAATGCTGGAGTATTGCCGTGTCGTTCCAGAAACCAGCCGCTCGTCATGTGCTCGCCTTGATGGGGCGAAGACGCGGGCGTGAACAGCACAAGTCAGGATGCGGGCGTGAGCAACACACCGCGCCTGGATCTCGGGGCTCCGCGCGAGCGAGGGAGGCGGGCGGCCCGCCCGCGCAGGCGCGCGCGCCCCCCTGCCGCCCCCCCCCCCCCCTCCCCCCCCAGCGGTCAGGAAGTGCGACTCCTTCGGGCAGGTCCTGGACGCGGGCGGCAGGCCGCTGGCCGGCGTGACCGAGGGGACCGCCCCGCCCTTGTTGCCGAGGGGATCGGTGCGCTCGACGGGGGTGCAGTGGAGGCCCATGCCAAGGAGCACCCTGCTTGCCTCCAGGGGGCCGTGGATTTCTCGGGTTTCGGTGGTGTTGCGATGGAAAGCGTGACGTTCCCACGCCGAAAAATCAATGGACGTCCTAGGGTCTCAGGGTTGGGTTCCTTGTGGAAGGTTCCTTGTGGACTGGCCTCCACTGTACGATCGACATGGGTACGGATAGAATCTTGGCATCGCCCGGACGTGTGTGTGTGTGTGTGTGCGCGCGTGTGTGTGTGTGTGTGTGTGTCCCCTCGGCGAGGACCATCGAGGGGCATCCTTGAGCATCGAGCCAGGAAAAACGCGCAGGAAGTCGAACAATGCACGGGGGATGGACGTCGGAGGGATGGCGAGGATTGGGCACGAAGACCGACAGCAGTTTCTGTGCTCATTTTGAACAGGACTCGCTGTCGGTGTCGCCGCGGGCTGTGTCCATTTGAGACAGAAGGTCGCCTGCCCAACAGCGGCTGCTGTTGGTTTTGGACAGCGCCTGCTGTTGGGCATCGCACCCATTTTTTCCGTACGCATCACGGGCGTTCAAACTGAGGAAAATGGGTCCCGAGGGAAACGGGTCCTGAGGTTAGTCGCCGTTTTCGGGCCCTCGTGGCCCTCCATGGGGCCCCGGGACTGCCAGAAGACGATTATGTAGGCCTCCTAGATGGGGTCGGAGTAGATGGAGTCGGAGATCGCTCTGCATCGCCGTTGCATCGGAGATGCGGCTCAATGTGGAGCCCGATTTTCTCCACGCTGGCGTCGCCGATGCATCGGCGATGCATCGGCGATGTATCGGCGATGTATCGGCGATGCGGCGCGATCCTCCGACCCCATCTTCTCCGATCTCATTTCGGAGGCCTCTAGACTCGTGATGAAGATATGTCGTCCTGGGGGAATGCCCCAGGGTCTAGGATTCGTTATTTCGGAGGCCTCTAGACTCGTGATGAAGACATGTCGTCCTGGGGGAATGCCCCAGGGTCTAGGGCTCGTTTCCCTCACGACCCGGTTTCCCCAATGCTGACCCGCCCGCGCCGCCCCCCCCCCCCCCCATTCATGCAGGGTGCCACCACCCACCAAACCACCCCAACCCAACCCGAAGGCTTCAATCTGCACTTCGTTTCCAGTGGGGGGGGGGTCGGGTAACATTGAGAAATCACATACCGAACCCGTACCCCCCCCCCAACCCGACATTCGGGCCTTCGAGTTGGGCTGGGGTGGTCTGGTAGGTAGTCAGGGTGCGTGTCGGTCCGATCGGTACGATCCGGTACCGGCGTCGACCGGCCCGGTGCGATCCGGCTTCGATGCTCCGGAGGATCGACACTGGTATGGAAATGACGGTGACGAAGATAGAGAAGGTTTCGGGTTGCGCACAGACAGCCCCCCAGGTAGTCTCGGCTGGCGCATCCCGAAATCATCATCCAGTTTGATCAGGACTCACTTTCGGTGTGGCGGTGGACGCTGACCACTCGAGACACAACGTCGCCTGCTCAACAGTGTCCGCTGTCCATTATGGACTGCATTTGCTGTTGGGCATCATGCCCGATGTTTTTCCGTGCCCAGGGACACTGTTGGCGGTCCGACTCGGCCTGGTGCTCGTACAGCGTTGTTGCGCATCTTGGCGCGGCGGGTCTGGTTCGATTCAAGCTCCGTGCCGAGTCCCGATTCGATTCGATCGACTTTCCGATTCGATGCTGTTTGATTTTGCCTCCCGCCATGCCGTTCCCAACGGAGTGAGGCTGTGTTGGGGGATTGAGCTCTTTCGCAGTTTTCTGTCCTTCTTGGGCCTCGGGGGGCTCCTCGCTGCCACGACTGGATTAGGATCGAAGTGCACACCAGGAGAGGTTAAGCGGTCGACTTTCCTGGGCTCGCCATGAAGAGGTCTCCTGGGACCCCGGGCTTGTGTCGCGGCTTTCGATTGCCGAGGGGAATTCTCTGGGCCCCCCTGGCCGTCAAAACACAGTCGGGGATGAAAAGCCGTTCCTGGGCTTCCGCCCCCGGGTCCATGACCCGCTTCTACAGTCAACCCGCACAGTAAGGACGAGCGTCTTCTCAAGGGTAATTACCCTTGCATCCTTGCCTCTCTTCGGTCATGTTCGGTCCATCCTCAGCCATTTTCGATGACCAGCCCCGCTCGCAGGGCCTCGGCATGAGCATCCAAGGCCTTTGCATCCTTACCGCGCTTCCTGACTAGATGGGTTGACTGTACCTGGACCCCTTGTTTGTCTCCCCTCGAGCCAGCCACCCTGAAAGGACTGAACGTGGTTTGAAGTCAACGAACGTGCCTCTCCCCGCCGTTCCTCTCCCTCCGCGGCCGCTCTCCTCCTCGCCTCCTGCCCCAGTGCTTGTTCGCCGTTGCGCACCCCGCCCTCGGTCAACCCGCGCTGTGCGAATGCCACCGCTTCGACAAACAGTTTTGAAGTCAAGTTTGATTGCAATCCGTCGACACTCCGGAGGATCAACTAGAAGTCTTGAGAGGCGGGAACGTTCATCGAATTGCGTCCCACGATTGCGTCGACCCGCCTGCAAGCATGCTGGTGCATTCTCGATTGGACGTTTGGAGTGGTGTGCAAACTTTCAATTGCACACCGGCCGCTGAACGTAGTTATTGCTGAAACCTCTGGCACACATATGGAGAATAACGTCTTCTGTTGGCGCTCGAGGGCGTGCAGGGGAGTCTGCAGCGGGACCCCCCCCAAAGTCCTTGGCACTCTCTAGCCTCCCTCCCCATCCAGATCTGAGGAGGGGGGGGTGTTCGACCCCCCCCCCGTGGAAGGCCGATGATGCTGCTTAGCGACGCTGACGCTGACGGTGACGACGGCGCTGACCCCGACTCCCTGCCCGCCCGCTCGGGCCCCCGCCCGCTCGAGCGCCCGAACGCCCGCCCCGCCCGCCCGTCGGGGCCCCGCCTGCCCAGCCCCGCCCGCCCCGACCCGCCCGAGGGGCGTCCCGCCCGCCGGAGTGGCCCTTTGGAGGCCCGCCCGGCCGCTTCCGTTTTGCTCGCCCGCGCGGCCCGCGCGCTGCCGGGTCCCGTCCGCTCGCCCCGAGCTCCGCCTCTCATCTCGCGCCCGCGCCGCCGCCGCCGCCGCCGCCGCCGCCGTCGTCGTCGTCGCCGCCGGCGGCGGCGGCGTCGTCGTCGCCGTCGTCGTCGTCGTCGTCGTCGTGGTCGTCCTTCTCGCTAGTCGTCGTCGTCGGCGGCGTCTTGCTCGTCGTCGTCGCCGTCGTTGTTTCCGTGGTTGTCAGCGTCGTTGTGGACGTTGTCGTCAGCGTGATCGTCGTATTTGTCATGCCGACTTTACTGGCCCGCCCGTCCGACCAGCGAGTTGGGATCCTTCCCCGACTTGACCGCCCCCTTTGATGTCCTGCCCGCGTCTTCGCCGTCGATGTGGCCGTTGGTCGTCGTCGTCGTTGCCGGCGGCGGCGGCAGGAGCGTGTTCCTCAGCGCCGCTTGCAAGGCCTGCGCCCAAGGGGGGAGGGGGGGGAGCTGGCCGGCGCGCCCCTCCTTGTCGATCGATCGGCGGCCGCTCTTCTCGGATCGGGGGAGCGCAGAGCTAGTGAGTGCTTTCATTTATCCCCTGGGCCACAACGCGTGTTATGCCCCCCCCCTCCCCCCCCTGAACGTAACGTTCCCCCCCCTCCAGTGCATCCCCCGCCTTGCCGCAGTGCGTCGGGCACCGCAGTCTGTCGTGCCGGACCCACACGGCGAAGGAAGAGGGCGTTACGTGATGCCCTCCCTCTCCCCTCCTTTTTTCATACGACCGCTGTCGCCGTGAATAAGGAATACTCTCCCATACGACGGCGGGATGTCTCCAATCCCAGCGTTGTTCTGATTCTCGCGCCTAAGGACCCACGACGTTACACCATATTGTAATCTTGGGACGCAAGACCACCCCCGGGACGACGGTGCATCTGGGGCCGCGGGCTGAAGAAGCCACATGTCGGAGAATGTTTGGGAAGGGGGGCCTTACAGCATTTTCTGCATGCAGCTGGTTTCGTCTCCGCCACCGAGCGCTCTCGTCGATACATCCATTGGGCTACAACGGCTCCGGGAGTCGCCTTGCGTGAGCTGATCCTTGGCATCGCTCGGACGTGTGCATTTTTCCTTCGGCGAGGACCATTGAGGAGCATCCTTGATCGTTTGGCGGAAACCACGCACGAAACCGAACAAAAACACAGGGAATGGACGTCCGAGCGATGGCCAGGATTCGCTAACCCACACCCCTGGAGTACCCCCCCCTCCCATCGGGCCCCCGCTCAGGGTCCGCCTCGATCCGATCGGATCTGGCTCGACACGCTGACGTTGTGGCCGCCTCGGCCCGGCTCGGCCTCCGCTCTCCGACGATCCGCGGCGGCCCGGTGCTCGCGCGACGCCGCCGTGGATTCCTGCGCGGCCGAGGAGATATCAGATCGGCGAGACCGATGCGAGGCACGTTCCGACTCGATCCGACTTCCCGGTTCGATGCTGACTTGTCCTGTCTCCCCAGACTTACCAGCCTCGAACGTATCCCTATCCCTCAGATTGACACGCCAAAAAGCGATGACAATCTTAGGGATCCGCCCTCAAAAAATAAGGGAACCCCTAAGATTGGCATCGTGATGAGGAGGTGCCCAGCATAGGGATAGGGATATGTTCCAGGCTGGTAACAGACCCCCGTGCGCCGCAAGAAGATCACGGCGGGAGGTTATTTTTCGCCGCGGCGGGCCTTTGGGGGGCCCCGGCCTGGCCCTGGGCTGGCGTCCAAGTAGCACGGCTCGGGGATGAATAACCTCGCCCGGTGGCAGGGCATATTTGCTTCTGTTTTTTTGTTTTTTTTTTCGGTTTTCACATTGCAAATTGGGCGCGGGCCTGGTGTCCAGAAGGTGCGCTGGGGGCGACCAGAACAACGCCCGGAAGAGCGCCTGGGAGCGCGCTGGGGCGAGCGCCCGGGCGAGCCCAGAAGAGTGCCGAGAACAGCGCCCTTCATCCGATGAAGGGCCAGTCTGGGGGAAGAGGGCGAGACCTTCAGGGGTTCACGCTGTGGGAAGCTGTGACGACGTCGGGGTCTGGCTTCTTAATGTGTTTCCTCCTCATCATCTCGGTGTCCGCAGGGAGACACAGTTTTCATCAGCTATAGATGCCGCGGGTGCTGCCTGGAACCCATCCCCGGTGCTGGTGCTGGCTGGCCAGCCTCGCCGAGGCCGATGCCCCTGCTTACCACTGGGGGGGAGGGTCGAGGGGGGGAGGCAAGCTGGGCGCGGGCGCGCCACATCTGCCACCCGTCGAAAAAGGAAAACGGTACGGTATCGTTTGAAGGTCAGCGCGGATTTCTTGGATTTCAGCTGGGCCCCTCTCATCTGACCCATTCCACGCATCCCATCTCACTGCACTGATTTTGCTCTATTCGCTGACTGGGGCGTCCTGGAGTGCCTTGGTTTCACGCTGGCAGTCGCAGGAGTTGGGCCACTGTTCGCTGCGCGGTCAGGAAGGGGCATGACTTTGCAAGTTCTAGTGGGGAGGCGGAGGGGGACGGGAAGGAGCGGGGCAGGAGAATGTGTTCTGTTTTTGTTCCGGCAGGACCTTGAAGCGTTTGAGAGTTGGAGCAGAAGGCGGAGGATGAGGAGGCGGAGGACGAGGATGGAGAAGAAGGAGGAGGATGGATAAGAAGGAGGAGGAGAAAGGGCAGGAGCAGGAGGAGCACGAGGAACAGGAGGAACAAGAGGAGAAGCGTGTGGCAGAGGTGGGGACGGGAGGGGGACGGCAACGACGGATGGGCGAGTCGGGGGTCCAGAGCTGTCGTGCGCACTGGGGCAAGGGAGCCATTTGTGACCAGCGGGAGGAAAGCACCCGGTCGGGAGATGTGGCGGACTCCGTAGCGGAGATAGCATGCTTGAAGGACCGAAAAAGTTCCGACAACAGAAAGGACCGCGCCATCAGTGGGGGAAAATGTACCCATACCGGTACCCCCCCTGGTCGCCCAAGACGTCCTCGGAGAACGGCTCGAGTCACACACCGTGCGTCGCAGGCGATTTTCCTCCCCCCAATCCCCGAGTTCCGCCGGAAAAGTTTGGCCGCTCAGCGAGAGGGGGAACCCTGGGATACACCCCAGGGCGGCTATTCGAACGCACCCCATATCGAGGATGGACGCCCCCCCCAACTGTTTGTCCCAGGGTCGGGCCCACAATGTTTGGTCCCTTCGAAACCCACACGAAGCCTTGGATAGGGGTCGCCATATATCCCCCGTCATGGCGGCTCGCGCGTGCCCCTTGCCCACCCGGCTGCCTGGTGGCCTCGAAGTCAGGCCCGGGTGCCTCCCCCGCGCGGAGGTACCCTGACCTTCCAGAGAGCTATTTTTTTAGCACGGGAGGCCTAAAAACCTACAAGACTAAACGAAACAGCCCGAAACCAAGACGTAGAATAGCTCTGGGATAGGTGTTTGAGTCGCGTGCTATTTTTTAGCCCTCCTGAAAGGTCAGGGTATGGCCAGGGAGGGCGGCTCCCTGCGAGGTGTGGCCCGCCCCTCCTCCGGCCTTCCTCCTGTCCTCTCTGGCCTGCCTCCTCGGAGACCCTCCGCAGTCTCCGAGCCATGGGCCCTCGGGGCCGACCGACCGACCGACCGATTCGTCGTCGTCGTCGTCGTCGTCGTCGTCGTCGTCGCCACCGCCGTGTTATCCTGCATTGACGAGAGAACGTCACACACGCCCGTACCCACAGGGGGATCGGAGGGAGGAGGACTCGCTAATCTCGGGGGAGGCCCCCGCCAGTCTGCCCGCTCGAGCGGGCACCGCCATCCGATGACACGCACCCACAGCCCCTGTCCGTACCCCCATGTGGGTATGGGTGCGTGGTGTTCGTTTGTTTTTCATGGGAGTCTCAGAAGGTTCCGAAATTTCTCGCGGGTTTGGGTATTCCATCTGGATGTGGAAAGCGTGACGTTCCCACGCCAAGAATCAATGGACACCCTGGGGTCTCAGGGTTGGGTTTCTTGTGGAAGGTTTCTTGTCGTCGAGCTCCTACTGTAGGGGGGGGCGCATCGACTCCCAATCGCCCATTGATCTTGCCCGCAGGGGCCTGAGACCCCACCCCGCCAAGGAGCGTGCGGATTCGCAAGCGGGGGAGACCTATCGCCGATCCGTCTGCGATGCATCGCCGATTCCAAGTCGATGTTCCCCTCCCGAGCTGGTCCCCCTCACGTTGCCCCTCACCTCCTGGTCAGGGCCGACAGGAAGGCGTACGCGTACATTAATGTTCGTGGGTTTCGAGAGCACGCGTGGCGCGAGCGTTCGTCACACGAGGTTGGCTGGGAACGCGCGTCTCTGGCAGGATCCATGCGTGGGCAGCAGGGAAGAGCACCCCGACCCCCACCACCGGCGTTTGCTGAACAGTCCTTCGGGCGACGCTCCTGGACAGCCCTGCCCCGACCGAAACAATCCCTCCCCGGGGCGCGCCTCCCTGGAGGGTTTCGCCTGCAGGGGTGCCTCCCTCATTCCCGCTTCGTGGCCGGAAGACACGTGTCTGTACCCATTGCCTCGCAGGCTGGGCCCCTCGGGTGCGACCCCGTGGGCCCCGGGCGTTTCTTCACGGATGCTCCGCGCGGAGTGTATCCATGCGACCGCGTGTCCACGGGATCGCGCCCTTGAATTTGGACCGCGAGGGCGTGGATACGGATATTGTGAAGGCCTTAGGGCCGGTGCCGCCGACCCTGACGACGACGAGGAGGATGAGGAGGAGAAGGAGGAGGAGGAGGAGGAGGAGGAGGAGGAGGGGGGGAGGAGCAGGAGGAGGCGGCGGAGCACGCGCTGGAGCAGCAGGAGGAGAAGGAGGAGGAGGAGGAGGAGGCGGAGGACGCGCTGGAGCGGCAGGAGGAGGAGGAGGAAGAGGAGGAGGAGGAGGAGGAGGAGGAGGAGGAGGAGGAGGGCGAGGGCGTGAATATGGATATCTCGGTGCCCGTGGCCCGATGCTGCCCGGCTGCCCTCCTTGCGCCCCGAGGACGGCATGCCGCTGCCCGCCCGCGTGGAGCCGGCGCCTCCGACCCCGGAGACAAGCTCACTGCCGCGACGGCCCGAGGAGCCGCCAGGGGGGGAGCGGGGGCGCCGGCGGCGGTTGGCACCGCGGCCGCCTCCTCGTGCTTCTCCTCCTCGCCCTCGCCCCTACGTTGCCCTCGCCCCTCCTCGCCCTCGAGGCGGAGGGACGCCCTGGAAGAAGTTCAGGAAGAAGAGGAGGGAATACACGGTGGAAGCCCGTGCCAAGAAGCACCCTGCTTGCCTCCAGGGTGCCCAGGGCTTCTTGGGTTTCGATGGGCCCCTCCTCGCCCTCACTCCTTGGTCGCCCGCGCTTCCCCTCGCTCCTCGCCCCATCCTCGCTCCTGGCCCCTCCTCACCCTCGCCCCCTCCTCGCTCCTCGCCCCTCCTCGCCTCTGCACGTCGTCTCCCGCGCCCCCCCCCTTTCCCGCGCCCACCCCACCTCGCCCCCAGCTGCTCTTTCTCGTCCTCGTGCTCCTCCTCCTCCTCCTCCTCCTCCTCCTCCTCCTCCTCCTCCTCCTCCTCCTTGCCAGACATTCACCGCGCTGAAAAGAAACAAGGTGCAGAGGTTTTTTCGTCGTTGATGGTCTCGTGGCCCTTGCCGGGCCCCTGGGACCGTCAAGCAGCGACTCGCCCATGGGGAAGGTGTTTGGACGTCCGGAGATCTCGCATGAGAAAATGAAGATTCGAGCAGGAGATCGACTGCATTGAAATTTGAAAATGGATGAACCCCATAATGGATTTCTCGAATCGATTTACCACATCATTGCGATTTTCATAGAATCTGCAAAGGTATGCAGAGCATTCCACGTCGTTTCCTGTAGCTTCGACGAAGAGTAACTCTTAGGGTGAACAAATTATTTTGTCGATCCCCTACTCGAATGTCTGGGTCCTCATTATCCTGCCTCCCTTCCTGCCTCGTGCCCCCCCCTCCGTTTTCGCCCTCCCTCATCCTCCTCTCTCGTCCTCTCCCTTCTCTTCGTCCTCGTCTTCGTCCGTCCTCCCCCCCCTTTCCCTTCTTGTTTGCCGTCTCATCCTCCTCGCTCTTCGTTTCTGTTTTCCTTGCAAGTGGTTCAGACTTGTCCGTAGGTGTCCGTAGGACTTGTGCTTTTGTCCTCCTCCCTGTCGCTCCTTTAGGTTTGCCCGTAGGACTGGGTCGGGCGTATCGCCTTAAGTTGTCCTTCGATGCAATGCCATTGTGTGTGTGTGCAAGTTTGCAACAGCTGCTACACGGATGAAGGCCGGGTCCGTTTCAAAATGCGGTCATCGCTTAGGCGCCGGGCACATTCGTCTTCAGTGCTTGTTGCAACGATACGGACTGTCAGTCCGCATCATCGAGCCAGCCTCAGCCACTGAGGCTGGTTCGTTTTGACCCGTTCTCGACCTGTACGCATCTTGAGCCAGCTTAGTGCAGCACGCCTCCCCGTGCTCCCACTTCCTCCCCCCTTCCCCTCTCTCGCCCCCATCCTCCTCCTCCGCCCTGCCCCCTCTCGTCGCGCCCCTCCTCCCCGAGCCCCTCGGGGCCACCGCAGCCGCCCCGAAGCCGTCCCCCCCCCGAGAGGAGAGCGAGATGACGTGCCTGAGCTGGCGCGCCCTGCCCCTACAAAAGCCCGCCCCACTGCGAGGGGCCGGCTCCTGGCAGGGCGGCAGGTGGAGCGGGGCCGGTCGGGACGCCGGCTCCTCCCTCCCGGTCCTCTGTGGAGCTTCGCTGCTCCCGCCTCGTCTGCTCGCGGCGCAGTGCCCCCCCCCCCCCTCCTCCCTCCTCCTCCTCCTCCTCCTCCTCCTCCTCCTCCTCCTCCTCCTCCTCCTCCTCCTCCTCCTCCTCCTCCTCCTCCTCCTCCTCCTCCTCCTCCTCCCCCTCCTCCTCCTCCTCCCCCTCCTTCCTCCTCCCCCTCCTTCCTCCTCCTCCCCCATCCCCTCTCCTCATAAATAACACTCCTCCCTGCTGGAAGAGGTGCGCTCTCGACCCGCGAATCAAAAGAGTTCGTGGCGCAGAAATGAGCTGTATACAGCTGCTGCGCCTCCTGCGGGGCGCTCACGATGTGTGTGCGGCTCGACCGCTGGAGTCGCCAGGGGCAAGAGCGGCATCCTCTCTCACCCCCCCTCGTGCCTCCAGGCGGGGCTGGGACCAGGATCAAGTGTTTCAGAGCGTCCCAGAGCTTTCTCGGAGCCTTCCGGAGCGCTCTGGGACTGCCGCGGTGCCCGATGCATCTTCCAGAGCCGCTGGATCTCATAGATCTTCGATTTGTCCCAGCCCGATGTACCCATGCCACGAAACACCGTGCTTGCCTCCAGGGTGCCCTGGGCTTCTTGGGTTTCGATTGTTTTGTTGGGGAAAGCTCGACGTTCCCACACCAAAAGTCGATGGACGCCCTGGGTTCTCAGGGTTGGGTTTCTTGTGGAAGGTTTCTTGTGGTCGTGCTCCTACTGGAAGTCCTGGCCTCGTCTTATGGCCTCGGGCATGCGACGTCTTGACTTTGTCACGCGCGCAGTCCCTGGAGGTCTCGACCTTTCCCTCCCCCTGGGCTGGCTCTGCACCCCGAGCCGTGTTTTGACGGCCCCATAGGGCCAGACAGAGCCGTCCACGTATGTAGATGGCACCACGCAGATCGCACCAAGTCAATTGCTCCACATCTATTGAGTCATGTAGATTCTCCTTTCTAATTACTCCGACGGAAGAACCCCACATAAGAATCCTCTGTGCGAATCTGGAAAAAAACCATCACCGTCGTCCTCGTGGTTGGTGAGGCGTCCTGGCTGTCTCTTCTGCGTATATTTCCTCTCGCCTTGGCGCGGGCCCCCTTTCCACTCCTTACGTTGTCCCCATCCTCGCCCCCCTGTTTGTTCCGCGCCCCGCCACCTCCTCCCCTTCCTGTTGCATGAGCGCGCATGTCGATGTTCCTCGGCGCCGTCGCCGCCACGGCCAGCACAGGCGCGTTCTCTACTGGTCACGTCGCGCAGCCGTTGGGACAACCCCGCGGGCCAGGCTGTCGGGACAACCCCGCGAGCCGTTGGCGCGCAAGACCAAGCCGTTGGGACAACCCCGCGGGCTTCGAGCGAGGCGCAGCCGCGCTCAGGCGGAAGGCAGCACGAAGCCCAGCTCTGCCGCGAGCTGCTTCGCCTCCGCCCTGGACAAAACCGCTCTCTTGTCGAACTCCAGGAGCGCCTTCCGCAGGGACGCCGGCGGCCCGCACTCCAGGAACTCTCGCGGCGGCGGCCGCAGGATCAGCATGTTCCGCATGCACGTGGCGCGGGAGAACATGACGTAGAGGTGCAGCCACCACTGCTCGTCCGACATGCCCGTGCGGCCAGCGTCCTCGTCTCTCGCGCAGTCGATGGTGACGCCCTTGCGCAGCGTCTGGCCCTGCGACAGCGTGGAGGTCAGGTAGGACGCGTGCGTCAGGGTGAACCCCGAGCGGCGCACGCTGTGCGCCCCCGAGCTCTGCCATGTGAACTCCCTTTCGCTGGGCCTGAACATCAGCAAGCTCCGCGCCCGCGCCTCGGCCTGGCCGTCGTCGTCGGCGCCTTCGGCGCCCTGTCGCAGCACCTCGGCGACCTGAGGAGCCCAAAAACTTCCTTGTTGCGTCCGAAATGTGGCCTGGGAACTGCGTTCTGGCAGCGCGAGAACCCAAAATTGACGACAGTTACAGGTTTTGGATGACCCGCTCGGATTACCAACATGATCTGCGGGCCCCATAGGGAGGGGGCTCCCGCCTGAGACTTCCTCGCAGTTCACTCACAGACGAGGCTCCCGCCTGAGACTTCCTCCATATTCAGGCTTGAGGAGCCCAAAAGTGACGACAGTTACAGGGTTCCGATGACCCGCTCGGATTACCAACATGATCTGCGGGCCCCATAGGGAGGGGGCTCCCGCCTGAGACTTCCTCACAATTCACTCAGAGACGAGGCTCCCGCCTGAGACTTCCTCCAAATTCAGGCTTGACGAGCCCAAAAGTGACGACAGTTACAGGTTTCCGATGACCCGCTCGGATTACCAACATGATCTGCGGGCCCCATAGGGAGGGGGCTCCCGCCTGAGCCTTCCTCAGAATTCACTCACAGACGAGGCTCCCGCCTGAGACTTCCTCCATTTTCAGGCTTGACGAGCCCAAAAGTGACGACAGTTACAGGTTTCCGATGACCCGCTCGGATTACCAACATGATCTGCGGGCCCCATAGGGAGGGAGCTCCCGCCTGAGACTTCCTCCCAATTCACTCACAAACGAGGCTCCCGCCTGAGACTTCCTCCATTTTCAGGCTTGACGAGCCCAAAAGTGACGACAGTTACAGGTTTCCGATTACCCGCTCGGATTACCAACGTGATCTGCGGGCCCCATAGGGAGGGGCTCCCGCCTGAGACTTCCTCACAATTTACTCAACGATGATGAGGATGAGGATGATGAGTGGTGGTGAAGATGAGTGGTGAAGAGGATGATGATTGATTGTGAGTGGTGGTGGCGATGATGATGTTTGAATGAGGATGATGCCGATGCCGATGATGATGGTGATGATGTTCGTGAGCGTGTGAGAGAGTGCGAGTGATGATGATGATGATGATGAGTATGTGAGTGATTAAGCATGTGAGAAAGCATCATCGATGATGCTGATGAGGTTGATGATGAGAGAGTGTGAGTGAGTGTGAGTGTGTGTGTGTGTTCCTGTTCCTGCGCGGGGTGTCCAGAGAAAACAAGAACCCCACTTTGGATGTGGGGAAAAAGAGAATAGACTCTACCCCCCCCCCCCCCGGACTTATCGGTCCCCCCTGGGATAATATGATTTCGCATATATATATATATATATACTCTGCACACTCGTCCATCCTACATATGAAATCATACCATCCCAGCTAGGCCGGTTTCCCCCCCCTGAGGTTCCCTTGTAAAAAAAAAACACTATGCGGTGACATTTTTTTTTTTCTAACATAGCACTTTTTCGCGAATCCCTTGCAAAAAATGAGACCAAGTGCACACGCGCGCGTCGTCGCGCGCGCATGCCGAAATCCTTCAAAACCTTCGGTGCGGGAGGGATTTCGCAATCGAGTTTCCAACACACATGCAAAAACACATGGTTTCGCAACACAGCGCGCGAGCTCTCGCGAAATCTTAAGACAACGATAGGTTTTTCAAGATGTTCACAAAATGCTACCAAACGGGCTTCGCGCGCGCATGTCGAAATCTGTCGAACGCCCTTGCGCGTGTGCCGTCGCGAGAATCTCTTGCAAAAAAATGGGACGAAGTGCAGACGCGCGCGTCGTCGCGGGCGTACGCCAAAAATCTTCAAAACCCATAGGTTCCGGAAGGATTTCAAAATCGTGTGCTCAAAAAAACTACAAAAACCCAAGGTTTCGCAACACGGATTTTCAACAAAAGCGTGCGCGCGCGCTCTTGCGTCGTCGTCGTCGTCGTCATCGCCGTCCTCCCTCTTCCCGCGTCGTCGTCGCCTACGTCGTCCTCTGTTTTTCCTCGTGTTCGTCGTCGTCGTCGTCGTCGTCCTCTTTGGCGTCGTGGTCGTTTCCGTCGTCGTTGTCGCCGTGGTCGTCCTTCCTCTTCCTCCCTCGTCGTCGTCGTCGTCCGTCGTCGTGTCTCGTCGTCGTCCCTCCTATTTCGTCGCCGTCGTCGTCGTCGTTGTCGTTGTCTTCCCTCCTCCCTCGTCGTTGTCGTCGTCGGCGTCGCCGTCCTTCCTCCTTCTTCCTTGTTGGCGCCGTCGCCGTCCTCCCTCCTCCCTCGTCGTTGTCGTCGTTGTCGTAGTTGTCGCCGTCGTCGTCCTTCCTCCTCCCTCGTCGTCGCCTTCGTTGGCGTCGTCGTCGTCGTCTTCGTCGGCGTCGGCGTCGGCGTCGTTGTCGTCGTCGAAGTCGTCGGAGACGTCGTCGGTGTCGTCGCAGTCGTTGTCGTCGGTGTCGTCGTAGTCGGTCTTAAGAGGTTTTGCAAACCAAGTTGCGGGTGGGTGGGTGGGATGTTTGCGCGAGCAGTGGAGATGACGACTTCAAGTTCAGCAGAGTGGATTCTCCTTTATTTTCTTTTCTAAAAAGAGTATAGACTCTACCCCCCCCGGACTTATCGGTTCCCCCTGGGATATCATGATTTCATAAATATTCTGCACACTCGTCCATCCTAAGTATGAAATCGTACCATCCCAGCTAGGCCGGTTTCCCCCCCCCCCTGAGGTTCCTTTGTAAAAAAACATTATGCGGTGACATGTTTGTTCTAACATAGCAGTTTTTCACGAATCTCTTGCAAAAAATGAGACGAAGCGCACACGCGCGCGTCGTCGCGCGCGCATGCCGACATCCTTCAAAAACCTTCGGTGCGGGAAGGATTTCGCAATCGAGTTTCCAAACAACATACAAAAACACAGGGTTTCTCAACACAGAGTTGCTAAAAAAACTTCCGCGAAAACTATTGCAAACTCTTAAGAAGACCATAGGTTGTTCAAGATTTTCGCAGAATGCTACCAAACGGGCTTCGCGCGCGCTCATGTCGAAATCTGTCGAACGCCCTTGCGCGAGTGCCGTCGTGAGAATATCTTGAAAAAATGGGACGAAGTGCAGACGCGCGCGTCGTCGCGCGCGTATGCCGAACACCTTCAAA